TGCTAACACCCTTGATAATATTTGTGTAAATATGCTACCACATGTGCACAAGGTGTTTGTAGGGTTGAGATGGGTTTGGGTCCCTCTCTCCCTCCCGCCGAGCTTGCTCGGTGGGATTCGGCGCTTTCGGGAAAATGAAATGTCTATTTTCTATTGCGCCGGATGCAAAATTCTTGGTGGTTGGCACACTTGAGCAAGGGTGAAGAAGTAAGAGTTGAAATGGAGTTGATCGAAATGATGCTGGCGTCGGTCTACTGACCGGACGCTGGGTCACTCAGCGACCGGACGCTGAAAGGCTACGTCCGGTCGAGCTGTCAGACGGCACAGTGGCTAGGGTTGAGCACCGGACGCTGGCTGCGTCTGGTCAAGGTGGACCGGACGCGTCCGGTCGAAAAAAACATGCCTCGGGGAGCTTACTGGAAACGACCGGACGCTGGGGCTTCAGCGTCCGGTCAGTTTTACCGAAGCGTCCGGTCAGCTTCGCAGCCGTTGAAATCTGACGAACAACATTTGAAGCAGGGGACACGTGGCATGAATCACGTGACCGGATGCTGAGGGCCAGCGTCCGGTCGATCGGACCGGAGCGTCCGGTCACCCCGCGTTGTGCCCAATGAAGAGGTACAACGACTCTATTTCACTGGGGCTCTATTTATAGCCCCATGGCCGGCTCAAGCTCGCACTTTTGGCCATTTCTATTGACATAGCATACTTGTGAGCTTAGCCAAAGCCCTCCCACTCATCTACATCATTGATTCATCATCATAGTGAGATTGGGAGTGAATCCAAGTGCATTGCTTGAGTGATTTCATCTAGAGGCACTTGGTGATTGTGTTTCGCTGCGGATTTCGCTTGTTACTCTTGGTGGTTGCCGCCACCTAGATGGCTTGGAGCAGCAAGGATCATTGAGTGGAAGAGGTGATTGTCTCCGACTCCGATCGTGGTGATTGTGAGGGGTTCTTGACTTTTCCCCGACGGAGCGCCAAAAGGTACTCTAGTAAATTGCTTGTGGCTTGTGTGATCCTCATCTTGTGTTGGTTGTGCGGCACCCTATTGAGGGTTTGGCGAGTGATGCCAATCAGCGCGTGAACCTCCAAGTGAGTGAATCGCCACAACGAGGACTAGCTTGCCGGCAAGCAAGTGAACCTCGGTAAAAATCATTGTGTTCATCATTTGATTCCGAGGTGATTGGTCTACATTGGTATTCATTATTGTGATTGATTGGTTCCTACCACTACATGGTGGTATAACTCTTTTGCTCACTCTTACATTACCGCAAACTAGTTATCAAGCTCTTTAGTGTAGCTAGTTGTGAGAGCTTGTTTGTTTGATTAGTGTTGCTCTTTAGTTAGTCTTTGAGAGCACACTAATTTAGCTAAGTGTCATAGCTATTGTGTGGATATACACTATTCGAAATAGAATTGTGGTAGGTGGCTTGCATTTTAGTAGGCTAGCGCAACACTCGCTTCGCCGCAAAATTGTCTAACACATTTTGTTAAGTGTTGTTGTAGATTTTTATTAGGCTATTCACCCCTCCTCCCTCTAGCCATTAGGACCTTTCAACTGGCGTGGAATTCAGACAACAGACGCTACTGCAGAGAGACATCATGGCCAACCCAAATACGGGATCGATAGCGAAGGACCCCAGACTGGAGGGTGAAATTGGGCACTGCGACCGGATCCAAAGCCAATTTAGCAATCATAGACTGAGCCGAGGGATCCTGAGCATAACTAGCCACCACGGCTGATATCCATGATGGGACCAAAGTAGATACTGCCGCACACGACGCCATTGGAGCTGGGTGCCGTGACAGAGCATCCGCTGCACGATTATCAGAGCCAGGACGGTAAACAATGCGGTATTGAAGTCCAAGGAGCTTGGAGAATACACGCTGTTGCCAATAAGTATGCAAACGTTGGTCAGACAGCTGAGTCAGACTCTTCTGATCGGTGAGAATCACAAATTCTTGAAATTGCAAATAAGGTCGCTAGGCTTGTATTGCCAATAAGATGGCCATGAACTCTTTCTCATAAGTAGAGAGTCCTCGAGACTTCGGCCCTAATGCCTTGCTCATAAATGCAATTGGATGGCCTTCCTGCATTAAGACAGCACCAATACCAGCCTCATATGCATCAGTTTCAATAGCAAATGGTTTGGAGAAGTCAGGCAAAGACAAAACTGGTGACTGACAAAGAGCTTCTTTCAATGTCTGAAAGGCAACAGCATGATCTTGAGTCCACACAAACAAGGAGTGTTTCCTGAGTAATGTAGTCAATGGCTTGGAGATAATACCAAAGTGGCGTACAAACCGGCGATAATATCCAGCTAGTCCCAGAAATGATCGAAGTTCCTTGACAAAAGAAGGAGTCGACCAATTTGCAATAGCTGTCAGCTTAGAAGGGTCTGTGCCCACACCTACACCACTGATGATGTGTCACAGATAGGAAATAGATGTCTGAGCAAATACACATTTAGATAACTTCAGGTGCCACTGATCCTTAGTAAGCAACTGAAAAACAATTCTTATATGTTGGAGATGCTCCTCCAAACTCTTATTGTATATCAGAATGTCATCGAAAAAGACCAGTGCAAACTTTCTAAGACAAGGGTGCAAAGTAGTGTTCATGGCACCTTGAAAGGTTCCAGGAGCTCCTGTCAATCCAAATGACATCACTCTGAACTCGAATTGGCCAAAATGTGTCTGGAAAGCAGTATTGAATTCTTCACCCTCTTTCATGCGAATTTGATGGAACCCTGCCTACAAATCCAGAGTAGTGAAATAAGAAGCACCAGCCAGTTCATCTAACATCTCTTCAATAATAGGCACTGGATACTTAGTTTTAGTAGTAATAGCATTCAACTGTCGATAATCAATGCAAAACCGCCATGTGGAATCCTTTTTCTTCACCAGTAAAACGGGAGAAGCAAAAGCACTGGAACTTGGCTGTATAATCCCTTGTTGTAGCATATCATTTACTTGTTTCTCTATTTCAGATTTAAGGATGGGAGCATATCTGTATGGCCTTACAAAAATAGGTTGAGCACCAGCAATCAGTGGTATAGTGTGGTCATAGTTCCTACTAGGAGGTAATCCTAATGGTGGGGTAAATAAATGAGCAAATTCATCCAACAATGGTTGAACCACAGGACTGACAGAAGAAAGCTCAGGCTGAAGAGTTTCCGGCACTATGGACAACTACAGAACAGAACCTGCTGGAAGAGCAGCCATATTACCCCAAAGATATACAGACTTACCCTGATATGGAATGCAGATCCACTATTGACTCCAATCCACTTGCATAGGACTGAAATGGGACATCCAATCAAGGCCTAGAATCATATCATAAGAGCTCAGAGGCAACAATTTCAAATCAGTGGTGAAGGAATAGCCCTGTACCGACCAACTAGCAGCAGGAATGTGGGAATCACAACTGAGCACTGCCCCATTAGCTACCTGAACTGTTACTGCAGGAGATAACTGCTGGACACCAGAGAGGGAACCAGCCAAAGCCATACTGACAAATGAATGAGAACTACTAGAATCCAGTAAAATAGACAATGGATTGCCTTGAATATCACCAGATAAACAGAAGGTCTTGGGGGAATGAGCACCCGCGACATCAGCAACAGATAGATGCATCATAATTTGAGCAGCAACAGGAGAAGTAGGACCTGAATCATCAGCAGGAATGTCTTCTTCAGGAAAAATGTCCAGGAGCTCTTGGACGAGATGGAGCTAAACTGCCTCAAAGCAGCGATGGTCGCGACTCCATTTGGCCCCACAGCGAAAACATAAGCCCTAGGCACGGCGTGCAGCACGCAGGGACTGAAACTTCTCATCAATAGTGGAAGAGGAAACTGGCCCAGAGCATTTTCCATCCACAACATCAGTACGGGGTGGTGGAATAGGTAGTGGTACTCCACCATGCCACACCGTCATCTGGTTAGGCACCGCATTAGAATGCCTGAATACCCTCTTGGTGACACCTAACGCCTCTTCCTGCAATTCAGCCAAAACGCAGGCAACATCGAGAATAGACGGCTTGTGGACAAGCAAAACAGCTTTAATGTCATCACGTAATCCATCAATGAATCGTTGAACATAGTATAGTGGGTCAGGGTGTTTAGCATAGGCTTTAAGTTCATCTACCAAACTGACGAACTACTCAATATAATCGGCGACTGAACCATTCTGACGAATGCGGAACAGACGACGCAAAAGCAATTCATGCTCATCGCGTCCAAAACAAGAGAGCAACTGAGCACAAAACACATCCCACTCTATGGACTCAAGGTCATCTTCAATTGAAGAGAGCCAACGCTTGGCGGGGCCATGAAAATGCATAGTAGCAGCCGACACCCAGACAATAGACTCAACACGGTAGAGGCGGAAATAGTGTATGGCTTGCTTAACCCACAGCTTCGGAGGTAGCAGTTGGGGTAACGAGAGGAGTAGGCAGATACAGAGGAGGAAGAAGAACAGTATAGGCAGATGAATGATTAGCTCGAGTTTTAATTCTGTTACAATCGCGATAGCCTCCTTCCTGGAGTTCTCTTCCCCTTTATACCGATACAGAGGACATGCCTCTTTATGCACGCAGGCGGAAATCAGACAGCCCAATCCCTTCTGGTGTATTTTGGGTTCACCTTCCTGGGCCTTGGCTTGTCGGCCCGTAGCTTCGAGATATCCTGGCCCGTCTTGTTCGTAGGCTCTTATGAGGTAGCACTCGGTAGCTGAGTACTGACACCTAGGCCGTAGTTTTGTAACTACTGTGATATAACAAGTACCAACTTTGGTTGGTTTGATGGTTTCATCGTTGAAAATTCAACCGAGGCGGCTTGACGCTTTCTGCCACTCCACTGTGAACAGCCCATAGCAGCCGGCCAGCCGCTACACATGCAGCAATATTTAATAGCAGCTTGTTACCATCCAACACGTTGCTCAGCTCGTCCCTTCCTTTCTCTCGCGGAGTGCTTGCACACAGTCTAGCTCTTCCTCCAGATGGCGTGGTGTTCAAAAACTGCAATGGAGATGCTCTCCAATGCGGTGCTGAGCGACATCGTGAGTAGGTCCGTGTCCTTCTTGCTCGCCAAGAAGCGCGAGAAGCAGACGACGGCGGCTGCGTAGGAGGACCTGCTGCGGCTGCTGTGCCACCTGCTGCTGAGGAGCGGCACGATAGTGGAGGAGGCCGAGCGGCGGCACGTCACGAACCCTGCCATGCTCCGGCAGCTGGAGTCCCTGAGGGACGAGACGCTCCGGGGCTACTATGTCCTCGACACCATCAGGTGCCAAGCCACGCCCAGAGAAGCAGATGACGGGCGCAAGGACGACGACGAGGCGGCGGCGTTGATGAGCCGCCACTCATTCGCACTGTCCAGGTTCAACTCGGCGAAACGCGTTCGCGTTCCCTCCGGGAATCCAGAAGCTCCGACGACGACGATGACGAGGGCGCTTCGCTTGAGAGAGCTGCGGCAGGCGGTTCGCAGCCTGGAAGCCATGATCGGTGACATGAAGGAGTTCGTCGTGTTCCTGGCAAGCTACCCTCCCTTCCACCGACAGCCCTACAGCGCCCATCTGTTCATAGACAGGTGCATGTTTGGCCGCCACATGGAGAAAGAGAGTCATGGAGTTCTTGCTGCAGATGGAGGAGCATCCAGCTAGTGCAGCAACACTGGGTGTTCTCCCCATTGTTGGCCCAGAGCACATCGGCAAGAGCACTCTCGTGGAGCATGTTTGCTGCGACGAAAGGGTGCGTGACCACTTCTCTTTGATATACTGTTCTATACTCGGAATGACCTTAAAGACGAGACAGTGAACAGTTTCAGAGAAAACTGCGTGATCAGGCACCGGAACGAGGAAGCCGTAGGGAAGAAGCTGCTGATCGTCATCGAGCTCTTAGAGGACGTGGACGAAGAGACATGGAACAGGCTCCTGCATTGTTCTTCCCAAGGAAGCATGCCGGGGGGAAGTAGAATGATCGTCACCAGCCGGTCAGAGAAGATTGCGAGGCTTGGGACAACACCTGTACTTAGGCTAAAATGTTTGCCCATTGAAGCCTACTGGTACTTCTTCAGGACAACCCTGTTTGGAAGTGATGATCCGTGGCAGTACCCAGAGCTGACATCTCTAGCTATGGAGATGGCGAACCTGATGCAAGGATCTTTCATGTTTGCAAACGTTGGCGCCGTCGTGCTGAGAGAGAACTTCAGCGCTCGGAGTTGGCGCAGAGCTCTTTCGAGAACAAGGGAGTACATGGACAAGAATGTCTCCTTGTTTGGTGAGTACCCAGATGATATCAAGCCCACCAGCTGGGATCATCCTCGAGTTACCTGGAGCATAGTGCAAGAGAGACCTGACAAGTATTGTATGCTCTATGACATTTACGAGAGAGGGTCGCAGGAGGAGGTTCCGGAGATACCATTTTCAGATATGCTAGCTGGATGTGCTCATCCACGAGGGGAGTACGAGATCTTGTTCTGGAAATCTCGAATTCCACCATACCTTAGCTATGTTTGTAAATGTGAGATCCGGGATATGAGTGCATCATAACATGCATATGGTTTCAGTCTTCAGAGTGTGGTATGCCTTTGGACTCTTGACTCTCCCAAAATAAAAATGAAAGCAAAAGACAGATGAAAGATCACAGTGTGTTGATGTATGGTGGCTTGACTTTTGTGCTCTTGCAGTTCAGCCGATGGCATGCCACGTAATGTGTTTGGGTTTCTCTTTTTGTTTTCAAATGTAGCTAAAGATTCAGAGCGAAGATAGCTCTTTAGAGTACGCACAAGATGTAGAAAAGCTATCAGAAGTACAAAGATATAGAAAACGACTTTTACTCAAATGACTCCAAATTTACTTAGTATTTGCCCTCTTATCTAGACTCTAGTTCTAGTGCAATTCTCCCTCCTCCCTACTCCATCTCCAATAAGATTAAACTTTTCGGTAGGTTAGGTTTAGGGTATTAGAGTGTTTTTTTTCCAATGCAGAAGGAGTGGTACAGTTGGGGATTTAGAACTTTCGAGGGGATGTCGGTCAAATTATGGAGGCAGTTGGTGTGCAGTGTGGTAGGGGTGTTGCTGTGCATGTGCTGGTGTGGCCCTGCGGGTGGTGAATGATGATCAGTAGGGTGAGTAGACCAGAGGACAAGAACAAGATGGGGTACCGGGGTGTGGCTTGGTTGGCATGGTCATATGTGGTGGAAGACTAGAGGTAGAAGAAAGAAAGGATAGTCGTTGCTTGAATGAATGACAAGGAGAAAGGGTTTTAGAGAGAATCCACTATCTCCAAGGTTAAAGGTGATTTGGACAATATTGATTGAACTCCCGGAGTTTGATGGACTTGAATTGAGGTATGGTGGCTTCCCACGCTGAGTTGTCATTGTGCATTCAAATAGTTAGGTCATGTTTGACTTGTGACCGCAACTTGCTGCAACTGACATATAGCCGTGCCAAAAGTCAAGTGGGCATTTTGCTCGTCAAATATTTGGCGTCCAAAGGGGCCGTCGAATACTACGAACAACCGTATAAAAGTCTTACGCTGGCCGTAGGGCGTGTTCGGCTGGCTTGTTCCGCCACTCACGAAATCACTGTTCACGTCCTGCCAGAACAGTATTTTTCTCTCACAACAATCAGCCGGAACAGTATTTTTCAGTCCTGCCGAACAGGCCCGTAGTGAGTGCAGCAAGTCAGACGTTTGGTTAGGAGAGTTTGGGACGTAAAACAAACACACCATTAATCCATTTCAGGACCCGCTTGCATCCTGCATTTCGCGGGAGCATACAAATTACCAACACAACAACGGAGGCCCAGCCATTTTAATTCAAATCACGGCATCCCGCCTGCAGGTCTCCCGGCCCCGTCCTGGCCCTGGCGTAGGCGTTGAGGCCGCAGCACATCCTCCAGCAGCGCGCCCACGGCCTCGTACGAGGACCCTCCCGCCTCCACCGCCCACCGCGCACGCTCGCCGACCTCGCGCGCCCTCCCCCGCAGCGCCTCGTCCGCCATCGCGCTGCGCACCCGCTCCGCCACTGCCTCCCTGCCCACCACCACCCCGCCCAGCGCCTCGCCTCCCCACGCGTACCCCCTCTCCGCGCCCATGGAGACGCCCGTGCCCGCGAGCCCCACCACCAGCGCCTCGTTGTAGAACTGCTCCGCGAACACCGGCCACGCCAGCACCGGGACGCCCGCCGCCGCCGCCTCGGTCACCGCGCCCCACCCGCAGTGCGTCACGAACGCGCCCACCGCCGCGTGCCGCAGCACCGCCACCTGCGGGGCCCACCCCTTGACCACCAGCCAGCGGCACGGCGCCGCGCCGTCGATCTCCGGCAGCGGCAGCGGCGCGTTCTTGTCCCCGACGACCCACACGAAGTTCGCGCCGGAGTCGGCGAGGCCCATGCCGAGCTCGGCCACCTGCTCCCGCGGGAACCGGGTGAGGCTGCCGAAACAGACGTAGACCACCGACCGGGCTGGTTTCGTGTCCAACCACCTCAGCACGCGCGCGGCCTCGGCGGCCGTATCGGCCTCCCCGCCGCGGCCGCGCTCCAGGGTGTCGTCGCCATCGCCGTTGACTAGGCAGACCGGCCCGACGGCGAACACCGGCTTCCCCGTGTCCTTCTCGTAGTGTTCGATGTACCTCTGCTCGAGGTCCGCGAACGAGTTGACGACCCACCCGGTCGTGGCGCGCTCGGCGTCGAACATGCGGTTCAAGAACTCACGCGAGTGCGCGCCCGGGAGCGTCGCCTCGGCGAGCCTCGACCTGGTGAGCCGCACCGCGTCGGGCAGGCCTGGCACTAAGAACGGCTCGGTGTCCGACGCCACGCCATTTTGTGGGCTGTGGAGCAGCAGAGCACGCTGCACCGAGAGCGCGAAGCACCCCGTGCCGGTGAACGCGTACCGCGGGATGCCGAGCTCCGAGGCGGCAGTGGCTGCCCACGGGAGGACGCCGTCGAACACGACGGCGTCGGCAGGCTGGCGGCGCAGGAGATCGGCGAAGAGCGGAGAGAGGAGGTCAACGGCGATCGCGAAAGGCCCGGCGAGCTCGCGGTTGGGAAGGTCGTCGGCGCTTTCGTGACCACCCGTGAGCCCGGCGGCCTCTGCGGGCAGCGTGAGCGCGATGATACGGATGCGGAGGCCCGCGGCAGCCGCGCGGGCGACGGGGCCACCAAGCCTTGTGGCGTTGGCGTGCGTGAGGACGAGCGTGGCGTCGGCGCCGCGGGACGCGAAGAGGCGGGCGAGGTCGGACATCGGCAGCGCGTGCCCCGGCGTTGGGAACGGGATGAAGTACATGCGCGGCGCCGCCGTGTCCCCCGACGACGCTACGGACGATGACTGCCGCATGGCGCTGATCGGCACGAGGAGAGCTGCGATGGCAGTGGTGGTCGATAGAGCAGAGTCCAACCGTCCACGGTGGATGGCATATGCAAATGCGTAACGGTCATATATAGTGTGGCGATGTACGCCTTCTGAAACACAAAGATGATGTGATGTACTGATGTCCTTTGCAAGGGCAAAGAAAAGATGGTGCACGATTACAGTCTTATGACTGTCGGTTAAGTTTGTTAACTGAAAGGACATGCATATTGCATTTCTTGCCTCTGCCAATCTCAGGGCTCAGGTACACCGTACACATATACACATATGTCATCCAGAGACAACAGAGAATTTTTTTTCCCCTCATCCTTGCTGTGAGTGACAACAAATTCTGGTTAGTCATGAGTCATGACATTCCTTTTGCTGGTTTGTCGAGAGACCAATATTCTGCACAAAACATACAACAATTGGATTCTTCAGTAATTCCCTGCAGATCTGAATCAACGAAAAGCTTATTGAGAAGACAGTTTAGCATTGAGGGTTGCACAGCTGATTTGCTGTGTTTTATGATAACAGCTTCAAACACATATGCGCTAGTATACAATAGCATAGAGATCATCTGATAACTCCTGCTATTTATTATATCCATTTATCTGTAACCAGACAACAAAAGATAATCCATCCATTTGAAGTACATTACAGTCAAAACACAAGGGGCAAACGACCCTGTTCACTATGACCTATATGACCCACTATAGGGGATGAAAGGGCAGGGAATCTGGATGCAGACTGGAGTCCTCGAACAAACAGCAACATTTTGTCTAGGATTTCTACCACTTAAGCCACAGCAGGCATATCCTTGAGCCAGGGGTCAAGGGGCTTCCCTATGGAGTAAACAATGAAGCCAATCTCCCGCATCTTCTCAGCATCAATTACATTGCGGCCATCGAACAAGAACGCTGGCTTCTGCATGCTGTCATAGATCTTCTTGTAGTCGAGAGCCTTGAACTCATCCCACTCAGTCAGGATGCAGATACCATGTGCGCCCTTGGTGGCTTCATAGGCATCCCAGGTCACAGAGACCTGCTTCACTGCAGTTGGGCTCATTGGCTGCAGGTGGATTGGGTGGTCCCAGTCGAACTTGTTCATTGCAAGATCACGCTGGATCTGGTCCTCAGTCACCTGTGGGTCGTAGATGCTAATCTTGGCCTTGTCTCCAAGAAGGCCCTTGCAGACATCAATGGCCGCAGTCTCCCTCGTGTCACCAGTGTCCTTCTTGAATGCAAAGCCAAGCACTGCAATCTTCTTTCCAGATACAGTGTTGAACATGGAAGACACCACACGGTTCACGAATCTGCTCTTCTGGTAGTCGTTAATCTTGATAACCTGCTTCCAGTAGTTTGCAACCTCAGGCAATCCATTGCACTCGCAGATGTACACAAGGTTGAGGATGTCCTTCTGGAAGCAGGAGCCTCCGAAACCAACACTAGCATTCAAGAATCTGGGTCCGATCCTCGAGTCCTTGCCAACAGCATAGGCCACCTCTGAAACATTGGCACCAGTAGCCTCACATAGAGCTGAGATCGCATTCACTGAAGAGATCCTCTGAGCCAAGAAGGCATTTGCTGCAAGCTTGGACAGCTCAGCTGACCATAGGTTGGTTGTGAGAATGCGATCCTCAGGGACCCAATTGGCATAGACATCCTTCAGAGCCTTAACAGCCTTCTGGCCTTCTGGAGTCTCCCGACCACCGATGAGCACACGGTCAGGCTTGAAAAGGTCCTCAATTGCTGTGCCCTCTGCAAGGAACTCTGGGTTTGAGAGGATCTGGAAGTTGATTCCCTTACTATTGTGTGTCAAGATCTTCTCAATGGCCTCTGCAGTCTTAACAGGGACAGTGGACTTCTCAACAACAATCTTGTCAGACTTGGCCACATCAGCTATCATGCGGGCTGCACTTTCCCAGTAGGTTAGATCTGCAGCTTTGCCAGCCCCAAGACCACGGGTCTTGGTTGGTGTGTTGACAGAGACAAAGATGATATCAGCCTCAGCAACATGCTTCTCAATGTCATTGCTGAAAAATAGGTTCCTGCCACGGCACTGCTTGACCACATCATCAAGGCCTGGCTCATAAATTGGGAGCTGATCGCTGTTCCATGCTGCAATGCGTGGAACTGAAATGTCGACGACACAAACTTCAATAGCAGGGCATTTCAGTGCAATGACAGCCATGGTTGGGCCACCGACATATCCAGCACCAAGACAGCATATCTTCACCATCTTGCTCAGTGACTGCATGTGGAATATGACAATAACAGCAATTAGTTATGTTAGTAAGCATGGCTCACTGCAACAAGAGCATAGTTGCTATGATGTATATTATGCACAACGACTCAAAATTAATGGCTCTCTCAGATATTTCGGCAGTTAACCGTACAAGTTTCTGGAGTTGCCGTTACCCATTAGCATTCACAAATCAGTTTATTTGCTGAAAAGCCGCTAGCGAAAAATAATAAATGAGTAATGACAAGAGCATAATAAAACCAAAATAATAATACTGTGACAAGTGGTGTACAATGAGCATCGATCTAACAGCAGCTGACATGCACACTACTGAAGCATACCAATCTGGTCGACTTTTGTCAACAGAGATCAGTCAATAAAATTGTTGCTACACGCCACCGATACTGCCAACATTGCCACTAGCAATCATCGTCAACATGCCAGCTATGATGTATATTATGCACAAAGACTCAAAAATTAATGGCTCTCTCCGATATTTCCAGAAAAGGACTTTTTGAGCTGTAAAAGAAGTACTAAGTCGAATAAATTATTTCAGATAACGGCAGTTAACCGTACAAGTTTCTGGGGTTGCCGTTACCTGTTAGCATTCACAAATCAGTTTATTTGCTGAAAAGCCGGTAGCGACAAATAATAAATGAGTAATGACAAGAGCTTAAAACCAAAATAATAATACTGTGACAAGTGGTGTACAATGTGCATGATCTAACAGCAGCTGATATGCACACTACTGAAGCATACCAATCTGGTCGACTTTTGTCAACAGAGATCATCAGTCAATAAAATTGTTGCTACAAGCCACTGATACTGCCAACATTGCTACTAGCAAATCTTTGTGGGCGTGCCGGCTCATATACATGCTTCAGATTACCAATTGCAAGCCAAAAACAGTAGCTGAGTAAGGAACTCTGAGAACATAACATATTTTGAAAAGAAAATGACCGTATAACTGTATAAGCCATCCAATGATTTCAGTGCACAGTTGTGTTTAAGTAAAGACTCGTAATCAACGCCAATGATCACTGCAGTAGTTTGACGTGGTGATGCCCAGTGGAGATCTGACATTTGGTGATAAACTAAACGTATGACCAGTCTTCCCTGCTCAATGGCATTTGACAATACATACTAACGACGACCATTTCCCCCTCGTTAATTTTTCCAGCGACCAAAACAAAGTAAAGACTAAAGAAATACTAGAACGCGGCCTGGATCCTATTACAGTACACTAAGGAATAGGAGTATAAGCGATCTCCTGAGTCTAAACGATCGAAAAACAGACGCTGATCGTTGTGGTAGAGTGCCAGAGTTGACCCCGCGCCTTAAACAGCACGTAGAAAACAAATCTGAGGGTGAGTGGTTTCGATTTGAGTGCTCGGTCACAGCAAAGATAGGATTTCCGCATAGCAAGAATGGGACCGGGTGGCTACTGCCTACGTGGAATTACCGGGACAGAGAAAGGATCCGAGACCAGAGACGGAGAGAGGCATACCTCCTGAAGTCCTTGCCAATCCGATTCCGGCGGTCTCTCCGCCCTCTCGCCTCGCCGCGAGATCTGGATCTGGGTGAGGAGGGAGTTGGAGACCGGAGAGGAAGAGGAGTTTCCTGTCTGTCCTGAGGAGGGGGGAGGAAGGAGGCCGGAGCGGGTTAAATAGGAGGGTGCGTGCGAACGCAACCAACCTACGCCTACGCCTTTTTTTAACTCACATCGCACGAGGTGTGTGAGGTGAGGTGGGGGCCCACGGACCGGTCAGGGCCAAGCTGCCCCACCGGCTGCCATAATCAGGCTTGTTCGGCGGGTGCTAAAGCAGGATAATAAATCGGTTGAAGTTGGTTTTTTAGAGAGAAATACTATAAATTCTAGCTGATAAATCGGTTGATAAATTTAAACGAACATGTCAGCTGAAAAACGACTAGATGAGGTGTTATTTTCATATTAATACTAGTATATGTAGGATCCGATTCTTTATTTGCTTATTATACCTTTGCAAGGCACGCGTGTTTGCTTGTTACCCTCGTCTGGTAGAGAAAGAAATGATCGAAAAAGAAATCTCATCAACGATGGTTTTATAAACTCATCAACATCTCACCGTTTGTAGTTTTACAACGAGAGGGGAACTTGATTGTCTTCCATATTTTGATTTGCAATTACAGCTCGTTTAGTGCAACTCCACAATCGACTTCAACAATGTTTCGAACAGAGCCACACCAAACGGACGAAGGAGGAGCACTTCTTGGCAAGTTAAAGGGGCTAGAACCATTTTATGTGTAGAATAGGAGTTGTATCGGTAAAGGGCTAGAACCACAAAATTTAAATATGTAGAATAGGAGTTGTATCGGTATTGAAGTGCTACTGAACGACCTCTGACTTCATCAAAATGCTAGCTGTTATCACTGATATATGGTTGTATCGTTCAACATATTTCACTTGAAGTTTTAGTTTTTGATTTTTGCTCCGTAATCATGATTCGTATTTAGAAGTATTTATTGCTAATCATGATTCTGTCACCATTAATGGAAAAGGATTTATTATCAAAGAATGATTCTGGATGATCTAACCCCAAACGATTAGGAGTACCGTAGTAGCATATACTCTACATAGTACATGTCTTTGTTGGCACTAGTTTTCTAAGGCTGTGTTCAATTTTTGTGTTTATACATGAGGCAAATGAAAATTAACTAAATATTTGGTACTACGTTGACACTACAGCGCCTAGGCTGACCGACAAGTTTTGGCCAAATTTGGCTTGGAAAACCCGAAACTGGACCGAGGCGCGCCAGCTAGGCGAACTACTTGCCAAAGGTTCGGCACCACTGTTGGGTTGGCATGCAGAAGTCCATAACACCTTTGAATCTGGTGAGCATCTGGTGTCGGTGTGCACTGTGCACTGCACAGCTTGCGGTTTGTCCGCGAACCGCGTGGTTTGCCATAAGCGGGCTTCGGCGGCCGGCCAGCGCGTTTCGACGGACCGGATGGCACGCGCGCGGCTCCGCCCGGGAGCCGTACGCCGTCGACGCGCCATGCGTGGGAGCGCGGGCGGACGCGCAGCCGGCATCCGGCATCCGGCAGGGCGGGGCAAGCCTGCCTAGAAGCCACGGCAAGTCGGACGCGGCAGAGGGCAGCTGACCGCGTACCGGTGTGAGTGTCAGCGTGTGGGAGCGTGCGCCGTGCCAGTTGGCGCAAGGCGGAGGCCTCCGGGCCTGCGATTAGCGGATTAGGCCGTGTGACCTGATACGTGCTCACCCCGTCGTCCGTGTCACGTGGGTTTTCTGATGGCACAGGCCTATATACGCCTGGGCAATTGACTTCTCGCTTGGACGGGCCGGATCTTGTTTGCAGCCTCTGCCAAAGGGTCCATAATGCACAGTATATTTCCTTTTTTTCTTTGATCTGAAAAAAGTCATTTTCATCCCCTCAGCTATTCACATAGTCCGATTTTGGTCCCTAGCTCTTTAAACCATTTTTTAACCATACATACCTTAGATGGCGGTTCTGTGGCACCACCTTAGCTACGAGGACGATAAAATCAAACTGCACTTATAGTTCAGCCGCAAATCGAACTACAGACAATTTTTCCCTAAATTTACCCAGATTTTTTTTATAAAAACTTTGCAAACAAAAACATAAAATCCACTTCAACATTAAAAAAATATTTTTTTATCTCAAGTAAACATGTAACTAAATTTTTTTTTCACTAAAATCATGCTCTATCTTATAATACCTAGCTTGAAATTATTTGAACATTCTATGATCTCCTGATTCTGTGTGTTATTTGCTGGTAGATGATCTTATTGTCTATTTTAACCGGTCTACGTCGATGACCCACATTGCACATAACCATGTTAGTGTCACTTTTGTTATGTTATTGTCACTCCATGTTTTCTACACCAACATGATCACATATAGGAATGAGTGATTCCATGTGTTCATACAAATAAACAGGATCAAGTGTGAGGCGGTTACAAGATAGTATGATTTTTTTTTGTTGTCATCAAAGTCACTCGAGGGTCTACATAGTCTAGGTCATTAGCACCAAGTAGTCATAATAGTTAACAAGAGTGACTACTAGTAAATAAATACCAAAAGCGTACCATAGAGGCTTCAAATAATTCTAAGCTAGGCACCAGATCATGGTTTTACCAAAAAAAAGTCTAAATTTGCTTTAATATTTTTCCAATTTAAAAAATTATAAATTCTTTAGATTAAACTAGACTAGATTAGAATTTTTACTTACATAACTTTTTGGGAAACATATCTGGATTTTGTCTAAAATTAATTATTTTTAGTATGATTTTACTATTCAGAACTATTCACTAATCACAATTGATGTGGATGTGGCGTCACGTTAGACAAAACTGTAAGGTTAAAGAAGAGACTAAAATCCGGTTTTGTAAATAGTTATAGTTGAGGAAGGTCAAAATACTTTTTGCTTTTTCCCCTGGCCTCCTAAATTTACCATAGCTATTCATTTTCTGCCCCTCAAACGAGATTGTACTCCAACGTAATTATACGTAATTTCGAAAAAAACGGTCGTATGTTCTACGTTCGCCATCACTACACAGAACCGTATTCAATAATACTGTCCCCATTTCTAATTGCTCTAGTGCTACTCCGCACTTTCATTCCGGTGATCTTTTATAGATGCCGCGTTCGCGTTGCGGTGAATTTTAAACTATATCAGCTGCAGATCGAACGCTTCCTCGTGCGAAGCGATCGCGTGAACTTTCGCCACGGTCCGGCGCCGTTCGGCGGCAATCCACGTCTCTGGTACCGGAGAAGGCGGAGATCCGGTCGGCGAGCACGGCCGCTCCGCCACGGTGCGCTCCGACCCGACGCAATGACCGGAGTACCGGACCTGCCTAACCCACTGACGACGCGGCAAGTGAAATCCGCGAGCACCCCTATGACAAACTGACAGGATGACTCCGTGACCTTGGCCTCGTTTAGTTCAGCCGAATTGGCGTCGGCAGGAACACGGTGTCGTTTGACAAACTAGTAATAGGGTGAATCCGTGACCCTTGAATCAGATAATCAAACTGTGTACCCGCCGATGAAGAAGAATTTTGTTTTTGTATAGTGTCGAATTCTGGAATTCGGAGGTAACTAAACGCGGCCTTGAGTGCCTACCCGCCGACTCCCACTCGGCCACTCCGAGTCTCCCACAGTCCCACTACGCCACTGCCCCATCCCGGTGCGGCGCCACCTTCCCCTTCCGGCACTCCCCTTCTCGTCTCTTATGGTGCCCAGCCTCTCGCTGCGCCACTACTAGAGCACCGTTCCCCCCTCATCCATGGCCGCGGCGTCGTTCACCCGCGCTTTATCTCTCCACCTGCTCCTCCTCTTCCTCCTGGCTGGCTCGGCGCTCGGCAAGACGGTGAAGAGAGACGGTACGTGACTGTTCCTTCTCCCACACCCTCGATCCCGTCCACGAACTCCTGGCTGCTTACTGCGAGTCGGCGTTTTAGATGAAAGATCGATTCTTTTGTGCGCGTCATTGGAGATCTGAACCCAACCTTCCATCCGGAGCCATGCGTTTCCCTGCTCAGTGGCGCTGAATTGGGCGTCTGTTCTATTGGTACGGCCGTACGGGTAGCATTGGCCTCCCTTGCAGTCACGCGCTCGGCTGTGCATTTCTGGAGACGCGTGATATATAATGTTCTTGCATAATCTCTGGCGCAACACTGTCGGATCCATTTATTACTATCTCAATTAAGATGTAAATTGGTTTCATATGTGGTAATTTTAGTTTGTATATATAATAGCATATACTCTCCGCAGAATTTGGGCCCAACAGTGCAAAGGGGTGACTGCTGAGACTTTGTGATTGAGTTGTAACTGAAGTAATGTTCATAAAATCATGATAGTTAACATGCACTATGTAATAAGGGCCTGGAAATGATTCTACAAATGCCGGCGCAGCCATCACAAATTGCGCCAAAATGGGCTGTTAGCATAGATGATGCTCTTTTAGTTGTTGTAAGATTCATGTAAATCGATCTCTAGTACTGTAGGGGTGGCGTGGTCTTCACTTAATCGTGAAACCGCGCACAAAAGTGGGCGTGGCTTGTGCCTGCACAGCCTTGTAAATTGCTCTCCTCTTATCAATGAAAGCCGGTAACGGATCTTTCGCGAGAAAAAAACATGCACTATGTAGTGTGCCATTTTTTCGTTCAAAAAAAAATAGTGTGTCATTTCCTAGTGCCACCAATGAGTGTTATGGTTCCTGATTGCTCGAGGATTCAGGAGAGTAGTTGTGCTCGGAGGCATTGCTCACAGTTAGCAATGTTTATAAACTGTTCAGTAGGTGCTCAGTGCTTAAGCGCTGGAACTAAAATCAGTCTATTTTTATGCAGTGAAAGCATTGAATGAGATCAAATCTTCACTAGGCTGGAGAGTTGTATACTCATGGGTCGGCGATGATCCTTGTGGGCATGGTGATCTACCCCCCTGGTCCGGTGTGACATGTTCTCAGCAAGGGGATTACAGAGTTGTGACAGAACTGTAAGCACCATTCTATCATTTTCTTGATTGTACCTTGTCACCTGGGCTCCTGGCACGCATGAGCATTTGGAAGCTATTTTATGGTTGGAAAGTTTCTTTCCTGAGATAAAAAAGGTGTAAAGACTTGAAGCCTCAAAGGTCGTTTTTTTTTGTTGCTCCAACATAGGAAACCCTTCATCACCTAGAAAATTGAAACGGCTCCTGACCTTGCAAATATTGTCCCAAAACTATTTGGCTACACACATATCTCCATATTGCAGCCATTTGTCATGACTTTTGTTAAAGCTACCCAAAAGAAAAAGTAAACTGTTGTTAGAACAAGGCAGCATTACCTACTTTCCTACTGCATGGATATTTTTTTCATGGTTGGAAATAAATAAGATACTTTGCAATTTAGCATCTATGACCAATACAAGTGTTCTGGTTATGGATTTCAACTCTATGAATTGCAAGATCATGTTTACTGCTTGTCTGAAGCTTCATGCATCATCAATCATTTTTACATATACATGCCTGAATGCCATATTGTGTATCTTATTTCAGGGAAGTCTATGCTGTATCAATAGTTGGTCCTTTCCCAACAGCAGTAACTAACCTGTTGGATCTAAGAAGATTGTAAGAACCTTTTCCTTGTCAGTCCTGTTTTATTAATATGTTCGATATTAGCATCTAGGAGGACATGACTGTTTATGTTTCATGATTATTTGATATAAACTGATTGGGTTCATGTTCTTCATATACCTGTTGTTAAGTGTCTGTTGGTTTTTAGATAACCATTCGGTGGTAAGATACTAAGACCACACAGCAAGGTATCTGATAGATTTATACTTTATTGTAAAAAGAAGCATTGAAGTTCCATGTCTGCTGCGCTATGTCCTGAGTTTGGAGAGATCAATTGCCGCAATGGAAAGCTAGATTTACCCCTAAACTATCATCACTTAATAACTTAACTATGCCAGCTTCTGTTTTGTTTATTTTTCTGAGTTGCACTTTTATTTTCTGTCAAAAAAATATCACTAATTGAAGGCGGTCTTATTATTGAATGACCTTGTGAAGGGCTGCAGTAGAACAACTTTATGACTTTGACCAGTATGTAACTTAATTATCCACTTAATAGGGATCTCCACAATAACAAGTTGACAGGGCCAATTCCCCCGCAGATTGGACGGTTGAAACATCTCAGGATATTGTAAGTATGGATTATCTTTGTGCATACTGAGTATATGCTTTCAGGTCAAGATGTTTGCACTTTAGAGCATTTCAGTTTTTGTAACATTGAACATAAGTCTCTTTATTCTCTGCAATACTCCAATGTCCTCGGATAATGATAGCCCTTGAATCAATGCTGCACCAATACTACTTTCTTGCACTTTGAGTCCATGGCTAATTTGAGTGTAGTTGCTCTTCATCTAAGCAAGTGTTCTTGTAAACTTAGGAATCTGAGGTGGAATAAGCTTCAAGATGTGCTTCCACCTGAAATTGGTGAACTGAAGAAACTGACACACTTGTAAGTTCATTTTTAGAATGTACTTAGTTTATGTGGATACATAAATGTTCACTTTTGATTTCTCTAAGTGTTATTGGGAATTTTTAGGTATTTGAGCTTCAATAACTTCAAAGGCGAGATTCCAGTGGAGCTTGCAAACCTGCCAGAACTTCGTTATCTGTATCTTCATGAGAACCGCTTCACTGGGCGAATCCCCCCTGAACTTGGAACTCTAAAGAACCTACGTCACCTGTAAACATCCTACTTGATTCCTTCTATTTCTTGTTCACCTTTAGAAGGAAAACCAAGTCATATTTACTACCTCAATTATAACCATCCTGGTTTGTGAGATGTCGTGGACTTGTGGCAAATAATAAATTCTCCTTTTGCAGTGACGTTGGCAACAACCACCTGACAGGCACTCTCAGGGATTTTATCAGCAATGGGAATGGCTTCCCTTCCCTGAGAAATCTGTATGTGAAAATATAACATGCTACCAAATTCATCCGTCTCTCGTGAATGGTGAGTGCTGTCTTTGCTGACTGCTGAGTTTTGTCTCTCAGATACCTTAACAACAATGAATTGACTGGTGTGCTGCCAGATCAGATTGCAAATTTGACGAACCTTGAGATTTTGTAAGTCTTCTCTGAAGCTGAAGATTTTATTGCATTAAGACCTGTCATCATATTTTTCCTTTGAAAAATAAGGAATACTGGATCATCTGATCATCCTTATACCTTCTTCAGGCACTTGTCCAATAATAAGATGATCGGATCAATATCGCCCAAGCTAGTTCACATTCCAAGGCTGATCTATTTGTGAGTCTCACTGCTTAAACCTTGTCTGAATTCATGGGAGGAAGGATCATTTAGTGTTCTTTTGGTTCTGATGTTCTTATATTACAATGGTTTGTGGCAGGTACTTGGACAATAACAACTTCATTGGGAGGATACCCGAAGGGTTATACAGGCATCCATTTCTGAAGGAGCTGTAAGTTGGCTTCAGAATCTCAATTATATATTATTTTCAGAAAGATTTTCATTTTACTTCTACTTTACATTTATTGAAGTACATGTATGCCCTTGCTGCAGGTACATCGAAGGAAATCACTTCAGACCAGGAACCAGATCAAAGGGAACACACAAGGTGCTGGAATTGCCTGATGCTGACATTTTAGTTTAGCAAGCTCGTTTGGGGGACCTGAGGTCTTGGCGTCCTGCTGATACGACGATTGTTTTTAGGGCATATATGTAGCTTTTGTTTGTCACTGCACTGTTCAGTGACAAATTTACATTTGAAAAAAGTCTCTTGCAAAAAAAAGAGAGAAAACAGTGAATAGTAGAGGCCACTGTCACACTGCTGACATTATTAGATGAGTGTACATGTTGTATTGTTTACCCTGTATCTTTGGTGTATGATGGAGATGCTCGTCAGATGTAACGCCAGCACATCGCATGGCACCGACAGTCCTGGTACAACCAGTGGCCAATGATGTTTTTGTTACACGCTGGGCATGATCTGGCCTTTTTTGGAAGCAAATTTGGTGCCACCAACACTTGAAAGCGTGGGCATGTGGGGAGAATCTGCTAATACCAGGCTGGATCTGCCCAAGAAAAGATCAGGCAGAATAACTGCATTCCAGACATGCTCTCCATTTATGAACAGAAGTTGGGTTAACCCAGGAGAAGTCAAGGTAGTGCATGCGGTTGAGGAATATATAAATAACTGAAAGAAACTAGAGCCTTTTTAGCTAATAGCTAAAAAAACAGAAACTAGGGTGTTTCGTGGCGCGCATAGCACCATGTCTTCTACAAACTTGGGTTCAGAAGATCCAATATGCTGCGCAGTTTGATTGGATGATTGTCGCAGCAAAGAATACTGTCCAGATCACATGCGTTTCTACACCATTTATAACTTTAACAATATTGCCTTTGTTGTTAGTGGTCCATGCTGCCTTTTCGGTATTCTGTTCCCTTCTGAACTCCCACTGTTTGTACCATGATTATTGCATTCCAAGAAATTGGATGCATCTCAGAATCCATGTCCGAATTGATGATGTCGCCACAGTTGCAAATGTCTTGACCTACATGTAGTATTTTATCCCAATTCTGAAGTTGAATACAGCATATGGCAGATTGCGCTTTCATCCTGCACAATTTCAATTTTAATCTTGGTATTCTGTTACTGCTTTCGGAACTCCAAATATACCAAATGCCCCATTCTATGGTTGTGGCAGTACTTGCACTCTTGATCCTTTTGCCTTAGCGAAACATTTCCCTTCAGTCTTTCAGCGACATGAAGAACTGAAGAGTCGCTATCTGCCCAAATGGTCCAGTTCTCCGACTCCCTCGCAAATCCGGTGCTATCTTTTTTTGCCGGATCAAGAGTTGTGAGTCAGTCAGGCTTGAGCTGCCCAAGGCACATGGAGGACAGGCATCTTTGTTTGGGCAATGGCATATTGACAAGCACACAGGGGGCAATCGCCTCGCTTGGTGTGGAAAGACCTAGCTTAAAAAACATGAACAAAACCATAAGCCAATGTCAGGCTACAGTGGCACAGGCTTGTGATGCACTGCAGGCTTCTGATGCTTTTCATGAGGATTGTGGTCCCGGTCCATTATTACATGCTAGTAGTTGTACGGAGTAACTCTTAGCAATGGATAAAGTCTTGGGGGACAGTAAATGTGCAGCAGGAAATGCACCTGTTCGACACTGTATCATGGTAAAAGTTGCGATGAACTGAGGATGCATACATCACCGACATGTGATCTGGAGAGTTTAGGGAGATGTCAGAGGGTTAGGTCTGCCGACACGAGGTTCTGAGTGTTGCTTCCTAGGATTATGTGCTTATGTTTCATAGATTATACTACTAACAATTAGTCTGGAGCAGCACCCCTGAATAAGAACAAGCAGGAGGAGAGCATGCAAAACTGCGAACGTGCACAGTGGCGGCGTGACTGTATTTTCTATTTTGGCTGCCGGATATGGTTGCCACGGCTGCAGCAGTGCAGCCCGAGGGAGCAGAGCAGGAAAAAAAAATGCATACAGTATGCATCCAGACTCAGTGCATACACAGGTCAATCTGCTGCCGACAAATCAATGGCATCCACGGCATGTACTCATCCAGCGGCAGTTGGCAACGTCCTCGTTTTGTGATTGGCTCGGTTCTCATGCGCTCGGCTGCAGGCTCTCCTCCGCCGATGCTGTTGGTTCTCCACGTGGCAACAAATTGACTCTGTATGCATCTAATTTTCTTCCGCAGAGCAGGGACCAACCTAATCCAACGTTGTTTTTTCACTTGTTTTCCCCGTCTGCAGACGAATCAAGCAGAGCTTGCACAGGCCAGGCCGCCAGGCCAAGCGTTGCCACCGGCCCACCGCGCCTCAGCGTGGGGCGTGGGGACGACGCCTGCCTGAGGACCGGAGCACGCGGCAGCTCTGGCCGCCTTGTTGTTTTGTCACCAAACACCAGCGAGGCCGAGGCACCATGCACCAACCAAAGCCATGGACGCCCAGTCCGGCGCTGTGAGATGCAAGCCTGAGCCCCAGCGCCGTCGCCCGTCAGAATCTGACGATCGAGAGACCCCAGCCGTTTGGATTTTGCTCTGGGTCCCCGCGAGAAAATCAGGGGCATTTTTTTTATCCTCGAGGGATGAGGAGGTTTGGTAGGGCTCGATCGATCGATCGTGGAGTTGTTTGGATAATACTAGCTGCGATTACAAAAGAATCTAGTGCTGTAGTATGCAGCAGGAGACAATCAAAGTGTCTTTTTGATGAACAGATACCATAATTCTTTGCCTGTCTTCAGCTCTACTGCCCCTGCTTGGCTCCTTCCTTCTTCATCACTCGTCAGTCATCACTCATCAGTTGGTGGTGGCAAGACCAGGTACCGACCCAACCCAAGACCACCAAAACCACCTCCACCGAACCAAACGGCCGGCCTCCCCTCAGACAAGGAGGCATATTGAATTCAGTCCATGTCACTACTAAAAAGCACTCCATTTGTTTGATCCACAGCTTTGTTTTCCCCCTCGGCCCTCCCCAAAAGAACTAAAAAGTTCACTGAAAACAAGGGACCCAACCCAAAGTCCCTAGCACAGATCTGCTCTGCTCAACATTTTCGGGAGCTCATCCACTTTACCTGCAAGTAGACGTAGTATACTAGGGTAGAGACCACATTTATATTAACCGGATAGCCTAGCTTAGGCGTGTTTAAATTGAAGTTAGGAATCAGTATTTGACACTGTAGTATTTTCGTTTGTATTTGATAATTATTGTCAATCATGGACCTAACTAGGCTCAAAAGATTCGTCTCGTAATTTACAATTAAACTGTATAATTAGTTATTTTTTTTATCTATATTTAATACTCCATACATATGTCCAAAGATTTAATGTGATGAAGAGAGAGTGAAAAAACTTACAATCTAAACAAGGCCCCTAGCCCATTTGAATGTTTTCATTCACGATGAACTTATAGAGCCGGCACAAGGCTAGAAGCCAGAAAGAGGCAGAATGCAGCAACTGGCGTGCCTTGGGGTGCCATTAGCGGCAATAAAAATAAGCCAAACGGCGCTGTATTTTAAGCCGTGAGCACGTGGTTAGCCCGCCGGTGCGAGTAGCAGCCAGATCTGGGTGCTAGGAAATGGAGGAACATGCACTCCGTAGTCTGCACCCATTAACCCCTACCTCTGCCTGCAATTAGTAGTAGTATCTCGCAAGTGCTATTTTTCTAAAACGAGATGAAAATATCTGCTCCATTCTTTTTTATTTGTTCTTTTCCCGTATTTGTGTGCCACAACCACAAGTAGAAATGTAGAATAGACATAGACGTGCAGTCATGTAGGCGCCACTTTTTCATAGAATCACAGGAGGCATCAAGCATGGACCATCCTGCACTGCGTAACAGCTGTGAGCAGAGGGACGACCGGACGAGGCATGCGCGGCAATTACTCGTAATAAAACCCGATCCTTTCCCATGATTTTATTTACTCCTTATATATTGAGAAAACGAAATGCTTCTGCAGCACAGTAGCAGTAACAGGTCAGATCTGCCGGGTAAAATTTAGGGTTTGGTTGGTTGGGTGGTCAGCCCGTGAACTGGCTCCCTAGAACCATTTTTGGTCTGTTTGATTGTCTGGAAGTGGGCTAGAGCCTGGCTTAGGCTACGACCTAGCTAGCCACCCATACCCTTTTAGCCTAGCCAGCCTTGAATGCCCAAATTGGTCGTTCAACTGGAGCCAAGCCCGAGCCAACCTCTCATTCGTGTTCGGGTCACCTCCCGGTTCGGTGCTGGAGGTGGAGGTGCCGTTGAACGAGCTGGTGCTGCACGACCTCGACGACGAGGAGCAGGGGAGCGCGTCGTACCGGCTTGTCGATGATGGGTGGAGGAGGCGGAGGGCTCGCCACGTCCGCGTCCACGGCCATCGCCGCCATGGCCTTCCTCGCCAGAGGCGGCGTGGTGGTGCCCTTCGCAGCCGCCGAGGCCGAGGCAACGGAAGCACCGGAGGCGGTGACATCCTGACGCGAAGATGGGGACGCGGGGGCGCACGGCCTGTAGGCAGCGGCGGCGGGACCGAGGATGGCGCGGCTCCAGTGCGTGCGCCCGCGAGCGCACGGTCGGCCTTCTCCGGTCACCTCTCCCGTGCACAGAGCATCACCATCACGCCGCCGAGCACCAGCATGTCACGTGGCAGCTCGTCCGTGTCAAGCTGCCGGTGGGGAAGGACGTGCCGGATCTCGAGAGGTGGATGGCCTTTGACGAGATGAGAAGGAAGGCTGGTGGCTGCGTCGCTGGCCATTTGCTGTACGATTTGCATCGCCGACCATGGCGAGTGGGGAGGAGGAGGAGAGTTGCTCGGTCCTTCTCTTCCTTCCACCCACCACCTGTTCGACACAACGCGTGTGTCGGGTTCATAAACCTGGGATCCCTCATGGACCGGCTTTCCAGCAAAGGCTCGGCCCAGCAGACGACGTTGCTAACGACGCGTAACTCCTGGGCCGGCCTAAAAACCTAAACAACAGGCCAGAAGGGCGATTCAATCTCCGACCGAAAGGCCTCGCTAAAGAAGGAACAGCGCTCGCTTCCGTCTCCGGCCCGCCTCTTCGATCGGAAGGCCTAGCCAAAAGGGAACAACGCTCACTTCCGACTCCGACCCGCCTCTTCAACCAGAAGACCTGGCCAAACACCGCCTCCAACTCCGACCCGCGTCTCCAACCGGGGATGCACCAAACCCCTGCTTACAACTCTTCTCTGACTAAGCGCGGTCAGAGCCGACTAGAACCAACCGACCGGGGACGCCGCTCGGTAAGGATCAGGAGACAGACGGAGAAAGTAAGGCAGGACACTCAAGTCAACCGCAATACCAAGAACCGTACCATGTACATCTATAGGACAGTACCAACAGGGCACGTCAGAAGGGTACCCTGCGACCAAGTAGTATTGTGGGCGCCGACATTTACCTTACAGTGTTATGGGCGCCATCAACTCCCATACTAGACAAACACAGTAAGGCTCCCCCCACATGCCTCTGAACATCAACAGTATTGTGGGCGCCGGTATTTACCCTACCAGGCGAACACGATAAACCCCTTACATGCCTCTAGGCATCAACAGTGTAGCAGGCATCGACATCTGTCCTACCAGAAGAAGATGATGCAACTTTCCACATGCATCTAACATTAACAGTGTTATGGGCGCTTATAATCATCTTGTACTTGACGGCATGGGCAACAAGACTTAGCATACATACACACTCTCTCTCTTATAAGGTCATTCCCTTCATCTATAAAAGAGGATGCGCTCTCTCCCAACAGATAGATCCCTCAGTTCACTAACACACAACAGCAGAACCACTAGGTTCAAACCTCGAGCACACGCTCAAACACTTAGCACATAGCGGAGCTCCCGTCACTCTCGGCCCTTCGAACTAGAGTCCGACCGAACCTCTTGTACCCCCATCTTTCTCCCTTTCGTTTGTAACCCCACAACAAACTTCGAGCACCTGGGCTCAGGAATAAAGTCACCGACCGACTCAAACTGGACGTAGGGCACATTGTCTAAACCAGTATAAACCATGTGTCATTGAGTGTTAGGCCACCTCCGATCACAACGTACAACAAAACTATAAATATTTACGTGTTGGTCATTTTCTACATCGACAGCGTGACAGGAGGTAAACTTACCATCACGAAGAAGAGGTGATCTTATCTAAAACAAACCAAGCAACCAAACACGCTATTTGATAGCCAGGTTTAGATAATGGCCCTGTTCGTTTAAACTTATCAGTCGTACCGTTTCAGCAAAATAATAATATTTTTTTTCTCATAATAAATCAACATCAGTACCAGTCGTTTTTCCAACCAACCGAACAGGCCGAATACAGGCCGAATACAGCCAACCAAACAACTGGTGATTGGCTGGCTAGGATAGGTTAAAACTAACCAGACTTAAAAGCTAGTCAGACTATAAATAAGCCAGCAAACCAAAAGCGCCCATGTAGACTGACCGGTACAAATCTTAGGTAACAAGTTCCCTTCACATGAGTGATGACGGTTGGCCGCGCAATATACATATGGACGTTTCTTTCCTTGTGTGGTCGATGAGGGATCGCTGTCAGGTGAGTCAATTTGACAGCTTCCAAGCTTCGATTGCTTAGTTCCACCTGCTCACACTCTGTCTCCGTTGGCGTTCCTCTCTTTCCACGGAACTCAAGTTTTCTCCCTTTAAAGTTTAGCTCTATCTCATCAAATATTTGATATATGGAGTATTAAATATAGACTAAAAATAACTAATTACACAGTTTACGACTAATTTGTGAGATAAATCTTTTAAGTCTAATTAATCCATGATTTGACAACGTGATGCTACAGTACGTGGGCTAACGACGGATTAATTAGGCTTAATAAATTTATCTCGCGGATTACGGATGGATTCTGTATTTTGTTTTTTATTAGTATCCAAACCCCACATGCGACATTTCATATGACACCCTAAAACTTTACGCACTGAATTTAAAGCAGACCTTACTCAACCGTTGGTTTCTTCTCCGCATAGCTTCCACCCTGTCCTGCCCTTCCCTTCCAAGAAACTAGCTAGTGCTACGAAACGTCCAGCCTCCAAAAGGTTGAGTCAACACGATTATAAGCTGTTTCACTTGTTGTTGTAATAGTATAATGTTGCCTTCACTAATACTATGACACGATACACCAATGCAAAACTTTTAACCTATTATTATACATGCAGTGTGTATTTAGTAAGAAGAGTAAGAATAACATCTAATGAAATCACCAATACCTCGTTATTTACGTGCAATATGTCAAACATCTTGATACTCAGCAACCTCGAAAAGAGAATAATAAGTTTTTTTAACTATAAATTGCGAGAAGATTGATAAAAAGGATCATGAATTAAAGCAAAAAACCGAAAGAGTGTTTATATATACTAGTAATATACTCTAGTCTAACAAAATCCATTTGTTAAGAAGTCAAATAATTTTAAATCTAACTAGATCTATACAAAAAGTCACTGACATTTATGATATTGAATTATTAAAATTAATTGTAAAAGTATATTTTTAGTATATCTATTCGAAGTCATAGATTTTGTGTGTGTTGTATAGCATTTCTGTATTTTTTTGAGTATGTCTACTACACAACCATGTGTTTTATGTAGTTTTAACATATGATTTTTTTGCATCATAGGATTAGGATCCAACAGTCTCTACACTTCTTCTACCTCCAGCCTTCTTCTACCTCTGGACAATCACAAATCACAATATCATAGATCCACAGATCACATATCACAAGAAACAATTTTTTTTCTATGGAAGAACAAATCACAGATCGCAGAGGAGGAGGAGAGGAGCCGGATCCGCCGCCGCCACCGTTGCCATTGTCAGCGCGGGCGCGGGTGTCGGGGCAAGCTCGCTGGTCGCCGTCGCCGGCTCCGATGGTCGCCGGTGAGAAAGAGAGAGGGAGAGAGAGTGTCGGGTGAGGGAAGGAGTCGGGTGAGAGAGAAATCGGTGAGGGGAGGGTGTTTATGTGTTCGTTATGACATGTGGACTCTAGACGTCATAGATAAAAAAATCTATGTGTTTTTTTTTGTGCTAAAACACATGTGTGTTGTATAACATTTTTGTATTTTTATAAATTTAGTTAAATTTAAGTAAGTCTGGCTCAATTCAAATCTAGAATTGTATTTTTTTGAAACAGAGTGAGTATAGTAGAAACAAAAAAGAAAGAAAGAAAGAAACACAAAGGCAGCAGGAGGAACCAAACAAAATGCTCTGCTGTTGTCTCTCTCTTGTTTCTCCTTCGGGACGGAAGGAGAGAGAGAGAGAGAGAGAGAGAGAGAGAGGAGGGAAGGGGAGAAGCAAGCGAGACGGGAGCAGAGCATAGCCCCATAGCCGGCCATCGCCTAGCCGCCCGGCACCCGGAAGAGAAATCAAATCCCCAATCCCTCGCCCCCAAAATCCCCTGGGGATTCGCCGATAGGCCCCCGCGCCGCCCGGTATTTGCATCGCACGCGGCGACGCGCATTGATATTTCCTATTAGTATCATCCGTGCGATTAGCATGTCTCTGCCCAATGCCACCGCCTCGCCGCCGCCGTCGCCGGAACCCTAGGCCGCCGGACGCGGAGCTCCCGTCGGCGGGGGAGGGGGAGGGGGAGGATGCAGCTGCGGATCTCGCCGAGCATGCGCAGCATCACCATCTCCAGCAGCAATGGCGTCGTCGACTCCATGAAGGTGCGCGTCGCGCCTCAGCCGCCCCCGCCGCCGCCGCCGCCGCACGGGGCCGCCCGGCGCGGCGGGGGAGGCGGAGGGGGGTGGTACTGTCGCGCGGTCGCGTTCCCTGTCGTCGTGGCGCTCGGCTGTCTCCTGCCCTTCGCCTTCATCCTCGCCGCCGTCCCCGCTCTCGAGGCAGGCGGAAGCAAGTGCTCCTCCGTCGGTAAGATGGACGGCTGCGATCTCGTGGTTTTTTTTCTTTCTTTCTGGGTTTGGTTGCGGCGGGTTGGGTTGTTGATTTGGTGCGTTTGGGGAGGTAAACCTTGGATCTCAGCGCCCTTGGCATAGGATTTCGCGGTGTCGGTGGGAATGTGGTAATGTACGAATGCTTCTCCGAGAACGTGTGATTTGTTCGCCTACGAGCTTCAGATTCAAGGTCTCAGGCGTGGGCGATCTTATTTGTTTGATGTGCTGATTTGAACTGAAATAGATAGAGTTGACTATTTGGGTTTATGATTCAGTTTCCAGGTGAGTAGATTTGTGGATCTTAGGCATATAATTTCCTTGCATTGGTCCAAATGTAGTTTTTCAAGCCATCACTTTGGTTAGGATTGAGGGGCTGGATTTACTCCTATCAGCTGCAGTGTTAGCTTTGGAAGAGCTTTTTTTATTATAGTTTTGAGCTGAGTCTTGCAAGACTGTAGCAAAAACCATACTATGATCCCTGAAAGATACTATCAGTCCTTCCCTATATACCGATCATATGTTTCAACTCTGAACTGGGTACCTGTTCATCTGGACTCTAAAATCTTAGGTAGCTGATTGTTTGGGCATCAAGGATGGATATATAAATTATAGGGATATAACTAAGCCCTTGATGTGCCTGGCTAACTGATTAATTGTAGGTAGAAGTGCTCCACTTCTGCACCTGGCCAGCTGATTACTTTTAGATAAACGTGCTCCACTTCCCTGTGTACCAGTCATAAGAAGTTATGCTGAAGCCGTTCCTAGATTTGTGCAAAATACTGGAACTCTGATTAATTGTAGGTAAAAGTGCTCCACTTCTGCACCTGGCCAGCTGATTACTTTTAGATAAACGTGCTTCACTTCCCTGTGTACCAGTCATAAGAAGTTATGCTGAAGCCGTTCCTAGATTTGTGCAAAATACTGGAACTTCAGTTTTGGTACTTTAATAAGTACCTTATTTGCCATACCCTAGGGAGTAGGGATACTTGTCCTAATAGCCTAAGCAAAATAATTTGGGGCTGAGCACTTGAGGTTCAGGCAATCAGCATTGATTGATGGTATGAAATGTGACTTGATAGCACCTGCAAAGACAAATAGGTATCATGGGTTTGTGGAATATTTGGCAGATCGTTCTTGATTTCTGTGTGTAAAGTTTGGTTGTCATAAGCTCTCTACTTGGGTTATGTTCTTCTGTAAGCTGCTGATACCATGAGATAATTGGTTTTGTTCATGCTTCAAGGTCTTCTGGTATGGAATTAGTATTATTTACTTCCCCTAACTCCAAATGTAAGTTTAGGACAATGACACGGTCTTAATGTTCTTTCACTTGTTTTTTTTAATAAAAAAACTATGCAGATTCTAAACTGTAAAAAATATAAATATTTTCCATGATGAATCTACAATCTAGTAACGTCAACCATGCTTTGTGAATCTATGTAACTTTTCATCATACATTGATGGGCCAAGTAAAATATAAGTCTGACCGATAGAATCCTAGAGTGACCTACATTTGGGATTGGGGGTAGTACTTTTGCCGTTTACTGTAGAACCCCCGGGTTGCATGGGTGCTTTATCACGGTTAGCTTATTTCTTTGCACGGAACTGACATTTTGTATTATATCTCATAGTTTGTGTTTTGTAACCTTTGTAATCCTGTTTTGCAGATTGCTTGGGGAGGCGAATAGGGCCTAGTTTCCTTGGTAGGCAGGGGGGTGATTCTACAGTGAGTTACTAAACTCCTTGTACTTTTCTTTGAGTAACTCATGATTCTTTGTTTACCCTTTTTCTTAGAGACAACAATTTATTTACCGCTTCTTAATGTTAACAGAGGCTGGTGCAAGATCTGTATGAAATTTTTGATCAAGTTAACAATGAGGAATTCCCATCCAATGAAAAGTTACCAGAATCATTCAGGGATTTTCTTTTGGAGATGAAGGATAACCATTATGATGCTAGAACATTTGCCGTTAGGTTGAAAGCTACGGTACGGAACTAACTTGCCTTTTTTTATTCACACTGTTGCATTGTAATTTTTGTAAGTTATAGTGCTGCATGAGCAAGCTTTTAAAGCAAAACTGAATTGGTTTTTGTGATGTGTATTTGGAAGACCCCAATATGATATGGACATACATATTGATTTTGGGCACTCAAATAATCCATATCACATTTGCTACTAATTAAACATAACAAAAATTCATTGATTATGAACAAGAATGGCATGTACATGAGAGCAGCCTATTCTGTGACAATATGCAATTATTGCATAGTATCACATGATGCTTTTTGGCATCTGTAGTTAGCGTGTACTCTCTAAATTCTGCCTCGTCTTTGGCATTCCTGTTATGTCTTTGCCGCTGGAGTTATATCGCTGTTGGAATTTTATGGTAGGTTCTGTTTCTGGTGCCTTAGCTCTGAGTCAGAGTTTCAGGCATCCGTCTAGTTTGCCTGGGTGTAGGTCTTAAACCTTATGTTGTCTTTCTATCATCTTCCAAAACTCTATTTCCGTTATGCTGTTAATGGAAATGGGACTTTTCTCGGGTGGAAAAAAATACAGGGCATGATCACTAAAAAACTAGAGTTGCAGAAGTATTTCACAATTGTGTAAGTGAATCTATACATTTTCTGGGAGTTAACGTACATTTGTGTATTGCTCCTGGATATGTAATTGGTCATCCTTTTCAGCATTCGGTTCCCATCTCTGTGTAATTGTGTATTGCTGCTTTTTTGTACACTGCTTAATAAAATATTGACCTTTGGCCTTAGCTCCTGATTAGGTGCTTTAGAGCACTATTGTGGTATATAACATTTATTCTTATTACTTGTACTTATATTGCAGATGGAAAGCATGGATAAGGAGGTAAAGAGGTCAAGGTTGGCAGAACAGCTGTATAAACATTATGCTGCAACTGCTATTCCCAAAGGAATCCATTGCTTGTCTCTGCGCCTTACTGATGAATACTCCTCAAATGCTCATGCACGGAAACAGTTACCGCCACCAGAACTATTACCTTTGCTTTCTGATAATTCCTTCCAACATTATATTCTAGCCAGTGATAACATTCTTGCTGCTTCAGTTGTTGTCAGCTCCACTGTACGATCTTCCTCAGTGCCCGAGAAAGTAGTCTTCCATGTTATTACTGATAAGAAAACATATCCTGGGATGCATTCATGGTTTGCTCTTAATTCCATATCTCCTGCAATAGTTGAAGTAAAAGGTGTTCACCAGTTTGACTGGCTGACAAGAGAAAATGTCCCGGTACTAGAGGCTATAGAAAACCATCGCGGAGTTAGAAATCACTATCATGGAGATCATGGTACAGTTTCCAGTGCAAGTGACAATCCTAGGGTGCTTGCTTCAAAGTTGCAGGCTCGGAGCCCCAAATACATTTCCCTGCTGAACCATCTCCGCATTTATTTGCCTGAGGTGCCTTGCCATTGGGCTTTATCTATCGCACTTCCTTTTTTTACCGGTTTATTGAAGCATTTCATATCGATGTGTCAACCAGATTCCATCGCTATGCTTTCTAGCATATCTTTATGGTAGGGCATTAGGTTGTTTAGGTGATTGCCTCCAAGGCTCCTGATCAAGTGAGCTTGGAAAACGTCACACCGCATGCTTTCTTTCATAGAACAGAGGTGGATGCGATAGTCTACTGTCATATGTAGTAGGACATACTCAAACCAACTTCAATGTAGTGAATATGTGATCTGTCTTATTCACTTGTGCATTTAATTTGATTGAATACTTCTGTGAGAACACCATTTGGATGGGCTAAAGCTTGCTGGATTAGTTAGTATGACCTTTACAGTTACGTACTACATCATTACCACGTGATGCATGCTGAAACTGTGATAATTAAAAGATACCCCACTAACCATTCCAGTGCTAAGATGCATGTTTAGTTCTCTTTCTATATCTGATTCAAATGAAGATATTCAAACGTGTTTCTGTTTTGTCAGGATCGTTATCACATGTTGATTGTGCACTTTTGCTTGCTGCTAATGTGCTGAGCTGTTATATTCCGCCACCTCTTTTTAGTTTCCATTATCCTTTTCCCAATTCTAGTAATAACTGAGTTGCACTTACATACAGTACAGCTTTAAAGCTAGCTTATACTTATACTCTGTAGCAAAGATTGTGAAATTTGTAATGTAGACTTTGTACATCTTTTTAACCTGGTCCATTCACTTTTCTTCAACCAGCTCTTTCCCAACCTCAACAAGGTGGTCTTCCTCGATGATGACATTGTTGTTCAGCGTGACTTGTCTCCCCTTTGGGCAATCAATCTTGAAGGGAAGGTGAATGGAGCTGTGGAAACATGCAGAGGGGAAGACAGCTGGGTGATGTCTAAGCGTTTCAGGACGTATTTCAACTTTTCGCATCCTGTGATAGCTCGGAGTCTTGACCCAGATGAATGTGCTTGGGCATATGGTATGAATATATTTGATCTGGCAGCTTGGAGGAAGACAAACATCAGGGATACATATCATTTCTGGTTGAAGGAGGTAATGCATTTTACACCGACAAGGATATCCATTTCCCAGTCTTACTCTATGTTCCATAGTTCATTGACTATGTTTCTGAACTGAAATCATTCTGGTATTTTTGCATGCAGACTTTGTACTATGTACAGTGTTCCAAAATCTTAAAAAGAAACCTTGATTCAACATTCTTGTGTAAATGTAAAAAGTGATTTTCCTTTTCTGCTACCTGGCTTTGGTCACCATGCGCTTATATATTCTTCCAGGCATAGAAAAATATAAATAATTAAAAAAAAACATAGTTAACTACTACCTAAAACATGATAAGAGTTGTTGGTTACCATTATTTGTCTTCACATTAATTTAAATCGCTTTTGCAGAATCTAAAATCTGGTCTTACACTCTGGAAATTTGGTACTTTACCACCCGCCCTTATAGCATTTAGGGGTCATGTGCATGGCATAGACCCATCATGGCACCTGCTTGGCTTAGGATACCAAGACAAGACAGATATTGAGAGTGTCAGGAGGGCTGCAGTGATACATTACAATGGCCAGTGCAAGCCATGGCTAGACATTGCTTTTAAGAACCTTCAACCATTTTGGACAAAGCATGTAAACTACTCCAACGACTTTGTTAGAAACTGCCATATTTTGGAGCCTCAGCATGTCAAGGAGTGACTTGCAGCAAATGCTGGATACAGCGAGGGAGTATAGTTTATGATTCGTTTGTTGGCTGGAGAGGCCGATTGCTTCTGGATAAATATACTGGTTAATCAAGAAAGCAACCAGCATTCAATACAACTGACCATCCCCTGCAAAAACTGGCATTCAAATACCTCAGGAGTTTTCATCTGTATCATAGGGGAACACAATTCTTACAATCTGTATCATACTGGTGCATCATTCTTTTCTATACTGTAACTGCGCAAAAGGAACTCTGGGACTGGGCTGATCCTTCGTCACAGAATAACTCAGAAGGCTAGAATATTCAATGATTGGTTGATCAAGACGAAGAAAGGAGGCGGATATTATGAGGTGGCAAGTTTATATGCTTTCCATCCATCCATTTAATTCTTTTTATACTTGTCATTGAAATTTTGTTCTGGTAGTTTTGTGATTGCTTTGGTAGGTTGGAGATGATTGTAGTAGAGATGCCATTGTTTGTGGAGTAACCTACAGGATATTGTTACAATTGTTGACATACTAAAAATGTGCAGATAATTCTTTGAAGAGTATTTGTGCTGAACTGTGAGAAATAGAGATCCAGATCCACTGAACAAAATTTACGTCACTCCCATGGTTGAGCCTATCGAGAGACAGGGCTGGATCAAGGAACGCCACGCAGTTTTTTTTATATCGGAACGCCACTCTGTTGCTTGTCGGCAGCTTGTAAACTTCCTCTGTTTTAGACAAAAGCGTTTGGCCTCTTGACTAAATTTAACCAAGTATTGCGGTCACCAGGTTTGTTTGGATGGCGTACGCAGGTTGCCTAGCCGCAACTTCTGGGTGCTCCAGTGCTCAGACAGCCGTTGCTTCGCGACCAAACTTCGGGCAAGCCAACCTCTGGCGCTCAAAACAAGCGCCGCACTTGTGGTGCAGCCGGTGCCCGTGCCGTGGCTATCTCTGGAATCAAACCAGACAGAGCCTCTTTTTTTTTGTAAGAATTACTGTAGTCACTAGGCGTTTGGGCAGTGGAAATGCGAGAGAGAAAATCTGAGGTCCTGAGCAGGCTAGTCGAAATGGAAGCCCGGCACTGAAACGGACTCTATGGGCTTTAACCCACGCCAGTTTATCGGCTGTGGCTTGAGGTCTCAGTATCACAGTTCACAGTGTGGCTTCCTCCTCACACAACAATGCTTTGCCGTTTTTATCCCCACGTCATATGATTTCTTTCACAAAATAGGCCGATGGAACATTTCAAGGCATACTGCAGCAAAAATATTTATTTCAAGAGCTCATGTGTCAAGAACAAGCCTTGGCCTTAAACTTGGGTAGAACTACGAAGGCGATGGATGTTGGTGCTAGGTGTACCGGCGAATCAACGGCAACGAGCACCGGATCCATAGCTGGAATGCTGCCAGCATCTCCAAGTTCTAACGGGACCCCGTTGAGCAGCATCGTCTTGCTCTGGAGATCACCGTCCTTGGCAGTCAGATGGTACTCCTCCCTCTTGGTATTGCTTGGTGGTTTCCTTGCCAGCCATGAGACTGATAGCATTTATAGGATCATCTAGGCGTATATCAATGGGTAAAACTTGACTTAGGCAAAAAGAGCTTGTTGATGTATCTCACCATGCGCGGTCACAGCCACGGCGCCACCGCGACATGGCCACTGGAGTCATAGTAGGGGAAGCTATGCAGGCGCCCGCTAGGTCATCGAACGCAGCAGCGGTGCAGGTGTGGTGCTGTGGCGGCGGCGAGGGCGATGACGCTTTCCGTCGCTCACAGCGCCCTTCTCGATCGGTCTAGGGTTAGAAACTTTAGGGTGGGGCTGGCGGCTACCGGTGACCTCATGTCTTGTGCTCCATCCCCCACCATCCTTTTATGGCGCTGCGCGACGGGGGCCATCAGTCAGAAGAACCGACTGAGCGTCCCCGATCAGGACGCGGATCAAGGGCCTAATTAGCCGTTGGGCCAACTGGTGGATGTCAACATAACATTCTCCCCCTTGATATCACTTTATGACTTAAACTTAACTTACTTTATCTTTTTCCCATTCCATCACAGATCAGTGTATAGAGCGTGCCTCATCGTCACGGTCAGTTGCCACTAGATTAAACAGCTACAATGCACATTTTTGAATGCACTGGGTGGTTAGCCTTTCATAAGCGGATCCGCAAGTGCTTGCTTGGTACTCATATGTTCAATGCTTTCAAAATAATTCTGGATTTTCTCCTTTACAACATATAACTCAATGTCAATATGTTTGGCAGCACATTTGACTTGTTGTCTTAAGAGTTAACTATTTTAAATGGTTATTGCTGTTGACTACCATTGTTAAATCCGGGTACTAATTCCCTTAACCTCCTTTTGCCTGTTTCTTAAGTCTTATGTCAAGCTATACTATAGTATGCATCACTGATGACAACATAATTGTTTCTTTGGAGCTTTTCCACAATAATACTCCAACTGCGAGTGTTTGCAACTACTGTGGATTTTACTACACATCTCGTCAAGACATAACATTTGTACCCTCAACTATCTGAGAGTACTTATTCTTTCTTACTCAGCATGAGACCTATGATACTTTGCAAAATTACAAGACATTCTCAACTCCATTCCAGTGATCTATATCTAGATTGGACTTCTGCCAAAATATCCCGGATACGTAAACTACGTCATGGTAAGTTCTTGTACTTGTACACTCATCAAGCTTCCAACACTGAAGCATATGGAACCATATTCATTTGATCAATCTTATATCGGTTCCTGGAACACTTAAAGTTCCAAAATATATTATCCTTGTGTCGGGGACCTAATACCGGGGTACCCAATGAGGTGGAATTAATAACCATCGAATGTTGACGCTTCTGGTCAGACAAAAACGCTACTACACTTCTTGCCCGAACGACGAAAGATTGGTTTCGGCTCACCCAACCCCAAGGGCTAAGACTCCGCCTCGCCCGACGTCCGAGGGCAGACTCCTCCTCGCCCGACGACTGAGGGCTAGCTCCACCTCGCCCGACGTCCGAGGGCAGGCTCCGCCTCGCCCGACGTCCGAGGGCTGGCTCCGCCTCGCTCGATGTCTGAGGGCAGGCTCCGCCTCGCCCGACGGCTGAGGGCTGGCTCCGCCTCGCCCGACGTCTGAGGGCAAGCTCTGCCGCCTCGCCCGACGTTCGAGGGCAGGCTCCGCCTCGCCCGACGGCTAAGGGCAGGCTCCGCCTTGCTCGACGACTGCACCCTGCTTCTTCATAAAGACAAGCGGTACGACAGGACATTTGAGTCAACCACAGTACCGAGGGCCATGCCCTGCATGCCTGCAGGAAGGTACTGTCAGCTTTAGGCCCTTTTCGACCTGACAGAGCCCGAACAGTGTTGTAGGCGTCGACTTTTGTCCCACTGTGTTGTAGGCGCCACCATCAGCTCTCGGACGCAGATACTAACACAAGCATACGACAACCACTACGATCCAAGACAGAACTCACATCATCTACAGTGACGGACGCATGGTCACTTCCCCGTCTACTCCCCAAAGGGTCACATGTCGGCTCTCTGGCATGCCGCACCGTCCGCCGGTGTAGGATGGGACACACCCACTTGCTGAAGGAGGCTAGGGCACGGCCTGTAACAGAACCAACCAATTATACGAGATTAAGTAAGGAAATCTTCCGTCGAAGCAGATAATTTAGTAAACTTAAGCCCGTATAACCCGGTAGTCCGTGAAACCATGAAGGATTTCAAACCAATCGACGTACAAACCAAGATCGTACAAGTTTAGCAAGTACCGTCACATGTTACATAAAGTTCGCAATCACAGTTGGGTACATCAGAGTTTATAATATAAAGTTATTACAAACCCAGTTCAATCTGAAATAGCGGAAGCAAATAGTTTTAAAGCCACACACTTTTTAGTTCGGGATACAATGCCAAGAGGGTAGTCATCTCCAACAAAAGCATCGATGAGAGATACGGAGTGACCATTGCCCTTGGTCCTAGTTGTCACCCATCGCCGGCAAGTGCAAATTAATGCAATAGCCATAGTACATTTGACCATCTGCAACAACAATGGGAACAACGCCCTGAGTACGAGAAGGTACTCAACTAGACTTACCCGTCTTAAACCAAAATAAAGCGACACCAAGGATTATACAAGGCTTTCTTTAGTGGGCTAGCTGACTTGTTTGTGAAAAGCATAAACTATCGTGAAGAAACCATTTCAAGTACTTTGCATCATCTTTATTATAACCTATCCATTTAGGTAAGCACCTGTACTATAGCAATCACTTGATTAACCAATAACATCCAGTTACCAATTTAAATTTAGCATATCCCATACCATCCAGATAACCATCATTGTTCCATAATAATTACTACGATGCCGTAGCTCGAGTTAAGTGCTCACTATCCAGGAGCGATGACGATTCGAATCGATTCCTAACCAGCTGGTGATTTATTCCTCACACAAACCACACTCACCGATCAAGTGAGCTACAGATCACCAATGACACTTTCCAAGTAGCCGCGGGATAACAGCCGGGACCGCACTACCCAGGGACCGCCCGACTGCCAGGACGCACCTTGGGCTCACTCTTCGCGTCCCCGTCATACCCCCTTCAGCACCAATCTGCCAATCCGGGTTTATCCCGACTCGAATAGTGTCACTAGCTTCGCGGTCGAAACTTTAGCCAAAAAAAAAAGTTGCTCAAAAATTTATTCTCTACAACTTTGCTTTTATGACCAAAGTCAAATTCCAAATAGATTTTGAATTATAAAAATTAAAATCAATATTAATTCAAAACCCTAATTTTGAAGAATTATTTTAAAAGCAAAATTTGGCCAAAAATTTAAATATAAACTTTGCTCCAAATTGTATTCTAAATATTTATAAGCTATCTTAGTGATCAAATGAAATCATATCACCCAAACACGAAGCATGGCATTTCAAATAGTTTAAACATGATGAATTTCAATTTAATTTTAGCACCACATGAAATGACACTTCCTTTCTTTAGAATGGAATGCATAGATGCTGCTTATGCATAATGAAATGATGATTATGCTCATGAGATGGAATGTTAATGCATGCATAACACCGAGGTGTTACACGGCCCTATAAGGATGAGCAAACACGCCATCCCTGACACGGTCTGCCATGTTAGCAGGGCAGGCACAGGAGAAAAGGAAGACCCGGCTCCCTCGAATGACCTTTTCTACCTTCGATTTTTTCCTCTTTCTCCCATCTATAACCCCTGCTCCACTCTTGTTCTATAAAAGGGAGGACAGGGCACCCCACTAAGGGGACCGATCGTTTTGAGAGGCAAGACGATGAATCGATTCCACACACAACACACAGTCAAGCAGCAACCGGGCTCTTTGCGTCTTTTCAACATTTCCATCAGAGACTTGTGACCTGTCCATCTCTCGACCGTTTGTACCCCCTATTACGAACTTTTTTCGGTACTAATAACATGAGTAGCAGCAAACTGGACATAGGGACATTCTACCCGAACCAGCATAAACCTTGTGTCCTTTAGTACACCATCCGAGCCTAACACGCAATAATTATAAATTTACTAGCCGGTGTTTGTTCGAAACACCGACACCTTGATTATAGGAGCAGGCGTAGGTTTACTCGCATGCATACTTTATTTGTTTTGAATCTTTTCTAAGTATGCCTTTGCGATAGTCCTAATACCCTATTTTCTTCTATCTCGGTGAATTTCGATTTCTAGAACCAATGACGCTTCACCAAGATCATTCATATTGAAACTTGCGGACAAAACTTCTTCTCCAATGACAGATTAACATCACTACTAATAAGTAGAATGTCATTTATTCACAGGACCCTAGGTGAGCGTCGGCCTCGTAGGTAGGTCAGCGTGGGTTCCGTGTGGTCGGCGCAAGCGCCAATGCCACCGCTCGCCGCGTCGGAGTGCGCGAGGAAGGCCAGGGGCCTTGCCATTGTAAAGAGGAGAAATATCTGAGGGTTTCATTGGAAAATCACTGTTTATAGAAATAGTAACGTGGACTACGGGTTGTTTTGCTCGAAGTCCGGGGGCGTTTTTGCTAATGTGCCAGCGCGCGGGATTCCCCCGCGCGGGCCACCTCACGTGGGCTGTGCCTGTGGGCCGCCGCGCGCTCGGCGCGCGCGTTGCCCTGCGTGGGCCACGTTGGGCCGAAAGCGGTTTACCTTTTTCGTGGAAAAATAGAAATAGCTTTTCATTTTAATTCTCAGCTGAACTTTGATAATTAATATAAAATAATATAGATGTCTAAAAATTATGAAACAAATTTTGTGAAGTTCCTAAAATTGTGCTCTATCTTTTAGTGTATTTAGTTCATATATATACTTGTTGATACAAGGAGCTATTAAATCAATTGAGAGTGCTTAATATTATTAGGTTAAATATTGTAGGAATTTTTGTGGCAAAATGGTGTTAGATTTACCTTTGAAAATTTTACAGTAGCTTCATGGTATTATTATGTGCTCACTGTAATTTTTGTTGCCCTAAAATAGACTATTTAATATGGTAGCTAAATACCTATTAAGGCTAAATGGATAATGGCATGATATTGGTTTATAAAAATTAAGCACTTGTAGGGTGAGCTTGGAATCTATTTGATAGAGATAATGATTAGCTTAGTGTTTTAATCATTAGAGCTAGCTTAGTATCTTAGCATGTGTATTCTTATTTTAAGAGTTGTTGTTGCCGAAATGCTAAGTGTTGTATCATCATCGCATGCATGTAGAGAACGAGTTGGCGGAGATCATGACCATCGGAGATCACGAGTTCGAGGAAATCATCGAGGAGTACGAGGAAGAGATTCTCGAGCAGGAGGAGGTTCCGAAGTCGTCACTGACTGACTGAGCTGACACCCCGCCTGCCCAAGGCAAGCCCCGGTGCATAACCCTTATTTTGAATGATCACTGAATATATATATGTGATGTGCATTTACGTTACATGATTTATATTGAAACTACATGCATAGATAACCTACCTATGAGTTCTACTAGCATAGGTCGAGTAGCTGCTATGCTTAGGCTATTGGTAGCGTGAGTAACCTGCCGTTACTCACAATAGGTGATTATTATTATCACTCTCATGGTAAAATGGTGAAAAGAAATGGAGACCGGGCAGGGATATGGTATGGGTATTGGTGGGTGTAAGAGGTTGTGTTCCGCGGCCAACGGGACATAGCTTGGTTACACTGTTTTCCCTGTCCGTGTTGGTTAAGGACCGGCTGTTGCATTGGATTCTAGTTAAATCACAGACTTATTATCCTGAGCACATACTTGCTTATAGGAGCGGGAAGGCTCGTTGCTCTTTTGTCGTGGGTTTCGGCTCTTTTCGAACTGACTGATTGGAGGCGGAGATGGTGGAGATCTAAGTACCACACCGAATCCGGGACTTAGGTGTGGGGGCTTGGAGTCCAAGTTTGGATGGGGATCTGGACCCCTTGACAGGAGAGTGGTAGGTTGGTCCTGCTTGTGCCTGGGGTACAAGCGGGGCGTGTGTTTCGAGGTACCTAGCTGGGTTATATTTATTCGCGAATCGCCGTGTAATACGGTACGACTTGTCTACGATCTAACACCGTAGTAAGATCTGTAAGATGAAAGATGGTGAAATGGATCTGATTGCTCAACTCTCACTTGAAAGTAGAATAGGTGCTTACATAGAATGGTTAGCTAAGGAACTTATCATGACTCTAATAAAATACATACATAAGGATTCACTGCTAGTAATGCTTTTGCAAAAAGGAACCCCAACAAATCATAAAGCTTATCATATCCTTTGGAGTCGGGAAATTATTCTCACTAGTCGGGTAAGTCTTGTGAGTACATTGTGTACTCAGGGTTTATTTACCCCTGTTGCAGGTGAGCTTGAGGAATGGCTGTTGTGTGGAGGATTCTTCTGGTGGACACAGACGGATCCTTGTATCTTATCGTTAGATGTTTATTTCAATTCCGCTGTTTAAATTCCACACTCTGAACTTGATATTATAATAATATATTTTTGAGAACTCTTGTTGTATGAAATGGACTAAGTATTGTAAACTCGTACTCATTATTGAATCCTGGATGAAAAACGTGGATTGTTCGAGTTCTCCCTTGGGGTGTGCTCGATGGAACCGTCCGATATAGTTTACTTTCGGGGTGCTTAGTGTCTGGTGGAAGACGAGCGCCTCCGGAAGCGTGCTATTTCAGGCGGTTCTACCACATTCGAGTTCCTCTATCTTGAGGCATGGCGCCGGAGGGGCAGGACCGCAGGAGCGCGACGTGCGTGGGGAGGGATTGAGAGAGAGGGGGCATTTTGTACATTTTTCCTGGTCAGGCCCACATGTCAGGGCTAGCAAACAGTGGAAATCTAACAAAAGGCGGACGTAATGGCGTGGAGGATAAGAAAGTTTAGCGTTATGGCACCAGGGTCCATGTGAACTTTTTAGTGGTGTGTAGGAATGGAGCATCTTTCATAATGGCACACAGGGAAAAGCCTCTTGGATGGTAAGTTGCATGTCTCTATAAGTAAATCAGCACGATCTAAGTACTTTGGGTCTAAGATCTTCCTTATAAGATGAACATCATTCCTTGATAATGAAGTGTCATTGTTGATGCATGTTGTGTATTGATTACATAAATTGGCATTGCTAATGATAAAATGGACATGCCTGGTTAACATAGAAGCATATATATATATATATATATATATATATATATATATATATATATATATATATATATATATATATATATATATATATATATATATATTTCTGACTCGATAAAAGTGATTAATACTACATCTCCTAAGAAAGGCCTTGCTATTTAAGAGAAAATTTTGAAAGGGTAGTTTATACATTTTATCTGATATGCATGATTCCTTCACTCTTTACATTAATTTATATAAAAAAAGAAGCAATCAAATTAAAACAATGTACCTTTGAAATAACAGAACCGTCAAATAACTTGTCATTTGGCATCAAATCAAATTATGGTGCACTTACTTATTTAGAAGGATCGAAATTTTAAACGGCTGATGGTTTCTACGGCTAATAAGCCGCCTGATGCTGATTTGTTGTGAGAAAAAAAAACACTGTACCATGGATGATAAGACGGGCTGATAAGTTCAAGCGAACAGGGAGGTGAGAGTTCAGACTAAGAAAGCATTTGTATCATAATGGACTATTAGAAGGTACAGTTCAGACTACAACTGTTCAGTCATTTATTCGGATTCCTTGAGGATAAGCTTAGAGTAGTTCTACCTACGTAAGCATTTGTATCATCATGGAATTTTAGTAGGTGCAATCGTTTTGAAACAATGAAACAGGATTACTCAGATGAGATTACAGTCAAAACAATAAATCACATACCTCCACCATGATTGTATACATGGTGAGATAGGGCATTAACAACACCATGACCTGAAGTCTCAAATAGCTGAGAATACCACTGTTGATCAAAGAACCCTCCCGGGCCTAACAGGAGTGGCTGGGACAGTGGTGCCTTATACAATTGCCGAAGGATGGATTTAAATTCAATTACATCCTTTCCATAAAGTTTAGCATCAACTTTCGCTCCGATTCCATGCCCACTCAGCTCATTGCCTGACAAAACAAGAGCCTGTGTAAAAATGTAGTTCTCAAACAAACTGGCTGACCATTTTTTTTTTTGAGAGGGACACCCCTTATTTCATGCATCATAAACTTGGAGAACTTCTATCTTGGAATATAAGGAGTGACACAGAATGTTTCAGTAGCGAAAAGATAGTATTACCAAATTCCCAAGAGCTAACTGGGTATCCCTTTGAGATTGTGTATTTTATAAAATCATATGCATTTGTGGAGTTCCATTTGCCTGCCCAGATGGAACGCCGGACATTATACCTCCCGTAGAGTGCATTCACACCAAATGTGACAATTGCTCTGCACATAGATGTTGCTCACCCATTAGCTACTTGCACTTAGCATGCAGAAACCTCATATAAGATAAACAGACAAGTGGGACTTGAAACATTTTTCCAATCCATATAAAAAAAGACTGAAAATTCAATTTATATGCAGATGCCTGTGTACAAACATGCGATGCACATGCAGTTACATTGAGAGGTTGAACTTATCACATCCTACATATGTGCTAACAATCTCTATTCCTAAAGATATGTAGAAATGGATAGCTTTTAGTTATTTTTCTCAATAACCATCTGAACCAACAAAATCATAGACTGTCAAAACCCAAAACACATAATTGGACATGTCCTATAACAAGTTTTGGAATATGTGAGTTGAAACGTGTTAACATCTGCAAAAGTTATGCTGGCTAATTTAAGTTCTCATAGTAGCGGTAACAACAAAGCTTAAAATTAGAAGTCTCACCCTGTTCTCTGAAATAGATCATTCAGTTTGTCCCACCTATCCATACCGAGGCAACCAACTGAGAAACCAAACAAGCCATTGGATACATTTGTGAATGGGGAGCATGGACTTTCTGTTCCCACATCATAAACAACTCGGTCTTGCAAGGAGCCTCCCAGCCTAATCCTCAAATGGTCAAATGCTGCAGATACAATTAACATTTTTAAAAAAAAAGACTGTCTGAGACATGGAACAAATTAACCAACAATCTACCAGCCTACTAGGTCCTTGTATAAAGTCACGAGGGATGACAAATATGAAACCGGTAACCACTGAATGTAACTCAAAGGGCCTACCTTGAATGGCTTCAGCAAGAAATGGGTGATCCAAATCCTGAATGGACAGCATGAAAAGTTAGTCCAAACAGCATTGTGTAGCCCACCAATAACAAGAGAAGAAAAACAACTATAAAGCACATACCAGATTAAGAATTGACGCCTGGCCCCATGGACACTGATTTTAGTTGCACTTCTCCGGTGGCCACCAATCAATTGTAGCACAGACGTAGTTGTCATCTGTGGCAGCAATCCTACTCGAGCCTTTAACTATGACCGTCGCCTCCTCCGGCTGCTGAGCCGAAGCCCAACGCGGAGCATGCAGACAGATGAGCGCAAGCAGCAGCAGCCTCAGCCTCAGCTCCATGTTTGTTTTCCTACCTTACCTAGAAGGCAAAATTACAACCCATACGTGTGTCATGATCTCCTGCAGCACACCATTTCCGCTTGAACAAATTCTTGGGACATAACGACTAGTAGGTGCGAAGAGCGAGAGGAATTCAATTTGCAGCTCGAAGTTCGTCCGGAACTCTTCGAATTCAACAACCGAACACCGCATATATACTTGGAAATGCAATGCAAACCGGGCCAACGATTCAGAACAGCAGCAGCACACACGAGCAACATGCATATGCCAAGAAAAGACGCCATTGTTGAACCGGAGAAGGAAGCGGAGAGTTCACATCTCCCGAGCAAGACCTGGCATCCGCCGGAGAAGGAAGCGCAGATTTCAGCGCTCCCCTCGCACGCCGATCCCGCCGACGCAGGACGCTAGTCCTCGGCTCCTCGCTCCCGGTCCCGGCCGAGCCGCGTACTGGAGAGTAGACCACGGGAGCTTCGGCCGTCGGCTCCGCGGATCCGGACTCCGGAGGCGTATACTGGGAGCTCAGGCCACCGATCCCCGGGGGCTCCAACCGACCCCAGGCGTTGCTGCCTTTTGGGATGCCGTCGGTGCCGCTGCCGCTGTTACGCGGCAGTAGAACACCGCAAAGCGGCTGGTTGCCTCGCGGAATCGCGGATGCGGAGCAACGTGGCCACGTGACGGCAGCACGGGAGAGTATACTGTACTGTATACCTACCGGCTCGGACATGTCTGCTTCAATAATTCTCTGTAGCCGTTTTCCGAAAAAATCTCTGTAACCGAGCGGTGATTTGTTCGATTCAGCTTCAGGTGGTCCGGTCCGTCCGTTGGTTCGTTTCGTCTCGATGCCAACGATTTCGTCGCCAGGAAACTCATACGCTGAAACCACCTGAAGACAACTGTACGAGCCTGAGCAAAATCCGCGAAAGACCGAGGTGAACCACCGGAGGAACCAGCACTCCAGGTCTCCAGAAGAGCAGACACGCGTTAAGTATCAGTGGTTCCACGAGCGCGCACCAGCTGCTACAGAAAAAGCCAAGCCCGTCGACCAAGTCCGCAGGGTTCATCTTGGCATTGGTGGCGAGCCGCCCGGCGCCGGAGGCATCCACGGTGGAACGGGACCCCGTCATCGTTGCCTCGTTGGCAAGGGGCAGCAGGATGTTAGTGAGGAGAAACATATGCAGAATCTGTGCACCGGCACTGCCAGCTTCCGCTCGGCTCACAGTACATTGAACTAAAAAAAAACCCGCAGCGGTCTGAAACGAAGACCCATCCTTTGCGGACAAGTTGAAATGTTGAGTACCTATACAGTGTCCAGCTGCCCAACAATTCTGCTCTACCACCTTATATCCTGTATACATGCACGTTCGCTCATTTCATTTAATTTGGGGCTGTGTACAGCTACGAGATCGCTGGTCTTTGTTCTTCATGAGGCTAGTACTAGTCCGTAGCAATGTACTGAAGCATGAACGCCCTCGTCTTGCCGTCCGGTATGAGCCCAATGCTCCGCATCTTGGCGTACACCCTGTTGGCCAGTCCGATCTTGCCTCGCAGACACAGCCCGTGGATGACCGCGTTGTAGATCGAAGAGTCTGGAGCCACCTCCTGCAGGGGGTTCAAAAAATTTATTAGATCACTAGGGAGGGCATCCATGAATGAATGAAACATGAAACCTGGATTTGAAAGCACCAAGACTGCAACCAGGTTCGACGGAATGATTCAGTAAAGAAACTAGTAAGCATAGTATGATGTTCTGCCAGGTCAACACCCATAATTGCCCTGTTCGCTTGGGCTTGTTTAGCTTATAAGCCGTACTTTTTCAGCCAACGAACAATATTTTTCTCTCACACCAAATCAGCCAACAGTACTTTCAGCCATGGCTTATCAGCCAAACAAGCCAAAACGAACAGGGCGAATGCATTGTGCTGATACTTTGTAGCGTTCTTAATGCTCAGTAGTTTAACGTCCATAATGCTCTGCAGGTTCAAAATCCATAATATAATCCATACTTTATACTAATACGATGTTGTTCCAGCGTTCTTAATGCTCACTAATTTAGACAGCCATTGTCCTTGATGTTCAAATAATGGATAGGGTCAGAACAATGAGCAATTTTCTGCAAATCTTCTCCTTCCCTCTCCAAATATAGATAAATGGAACCATACGATCATTGTTTCTGAGGCTAAAGAATGCATACCCCCCAAATAACTGGATCACAAAATTAACCATGTGGTTCGAAATGAATATCACTAGTGTCAAGAACAGAAATCTAATGGAAGCAACACAGTTGTTAATTGTTCAAATTCAGGAGCAGTTATGCACAAGCACAAGAAGGCATTTCTTCAAATTCAGGTGCAGTTATGCACAAGAAGCCATTCGTATGACCAAGAAAAACTGGAAAAGAAACCACATCTAAGACGTATTTTCATCATTGTATCCAGCCACAGTGTTGGTACTAACCATAGAAGATTGCTAAATAATTAAGCAACGATAAAAGTACCATTGAAGAACCAAAGTCAGAGTGCCACCCGTCCAATTTTTTGGTATGAGAGCAGTACAAAAACCCACATTTAAGCAAATGGGAATTCAAGACTTGAACAGAGATAAAAAAAAAACGACAAAAGGAAGTATTACCTCTAATATATCCTCTACTTCAATCCAAAGAGATCCCCAGATGCAAGCTCGTATAACAGATAAATGTGTGAATGTGTCAGGCAAACACCTTTGGTTAATCATGCGCTGGTACACTTTAATAGCAACTTTTGGCTTGCTAGCAACCTCACAAGCACCTATCACATGATTGTAAGATACCACAGATATTTCCAGTCCACTTTTTTCCATCATCCATAACAGCTGCAAACCATGTTCCCATTGACCAAGCTTTTCACAAGACATCAAAGCAATGTTGTAGAGATGATTATTTAAGAGCGTCGGATGCTTGGCTTTGATTCCTTGGAAAAGCTCTAGGCAATCCCAGCATCGCCCAGACCTGTATAATCCCGACAACAGTGCGCTCCATGTATATTGATCAGGCTTAAGGCCTGATTTTTTCAGCAGATGGTACATCCTAAAGGCGAGTTCATCTTGACCAGCCTTCCCAACTGAGTTGATAATCGAATTGAACAAAATTAAACTGGGTTTCATGCCAGCACTCAGCATTCTACTAAATGTGGACAGTGCAAACTCCCACTTCCCTTCTTTAGTGCAGGATGCAATGATAGCCTTCATTATATCCTCGCTCGGATCAAGTCCCTTCTGGAGCATTTCCTGATATGCGGCAATTGCTAACTCAGACTGACCACATTGCACGAATATGCTGACTAATAAATCATATGTCAGCAAAGTCCCACTCAAAGAATTCTCCTCTAGCCTTCTCCATAGTCTCTCCACAAGCATCCATTCTTTTGCTCTTCCACACACAGATATCATTGTATTATAAACAATCACATCAATGATTTTCTTTGAATCTTCCTCCTCCTCAATCTTACTGAATATTTCCAACGCAGAAACATAACCCTGATTGCTCGCAACAGCCTTGAGTATCAAGGTATACGTGTGCCCTGTTGCCATTCCTTTCGCCTTCATGAAATCAAACATCCTCATTGCATCCGCCAGTGGACTTCTACGCACATAGCAAGCCAACAGGGAGTTGCAGGCATGTGCGCTTGGCTGCAGCCGAGATGCACGCATTGAATCAAACAGCTCAGTGGCACTCCTGACCTTGTTGTTTTGGCTGAGCTTTATCAACCTTCTTGACAGCGTCTCCTCGTCCCTCTCCTCCAAGAAGTGCAGCCTCGACGCCCCATGCTCAGATTTCCTGTCCGGCGACTCCGACGCCATCGCCGGTGGAGTACTTCTTGCGCCCACCTCCTTCTGAAAAACGGTCGGCCTCGTCGGACGCCGACGCGGACCGCGCCTCTTGCCACCGCCATCAGCGTACGGTTCACCATCGACGCCCCAAAACCCAACGTCGACGTCCTCCTTCCCGTCGACCTCTGAATCAAGTAAGCATGGAGCCGCCCTACAAACGTAAGCTCCGACCGTAACCACGGCGGCGCTTAGAGCTTGTGCCTGGCGGGCGTCACCTCTGCTCCGGCCTCCGCTTCGCGGACGGAACCTTGTGCCATCACCACCGCCCCGTTTGCCGCGCGGGGGCAGCTCATGGCCGAAGGAGCCGCAACTCGTGCTGCAGCCGCTCCAAACTGTAGCCATGGACGCCGCGAATAGTAACGAAATCCAAATATTTCATCGACACGCGGGGCTCTCTTCGCTAATCTGGAGAGGAATCAATCCAAAAAAACGGAGAATCGACGGAATTGGTTGGAAAATGGCACTTCTAGATGGATTGGAGAGGTGGAGAGGAACCGCGAGTAGAGAGGAGGCAGGCAGTGGGAGAGGAGCAGTGTGGTGTGTGGAGGCGACGGTCGGGGCGGCGGCGGCGGCCTGGCGCGGACGCGTCGGGGAGGCGGCGGCGTCCGCCTGGAGTTGCCCCGGGCCAGCTCTCCGTCTCGTCTCTTTCTGGTTCGACCTCAGTCTCGTCTCTCTCCGTCAATCAACCGCCTGAATGGAAAAGGAACGATGGATAACGTTTGGTCAGCCAGGGGCAAAACGGGAAGAAAAAGATGCCACGGCAAAAAAAAAAGTATTAAATTTGATAATAAATCTGTCGCAGATTATTTTAGCAGGCGTGGATCATTTAATAATGACAAACGGATAAATTCCATTAACGGAATGGCAAAAGAGCGAAGGTAGAATCGCCATTTTCTCGTGGATGATGGTTGATGGGATTAGGGATGATCGGATATATTAAATGGGCCTTATTATTAGCGGGCCTGAATATTTGGTTTGGCCCAACGAAAATCCTAGTCTGTCCAGACTCCAATTCGGCCCAGTAGTTTCAAGGCAGTTTTGATGGGTTTAATAATTTATTTTTCGGGTAAAAAAAGGTTAGTGTAGCATTTCGACGTAGTGTAAGACTGATCGGTGATACAACCATGTCAGCCTTGTGGCTTGGCAATATGAACTATGGATACTCAGTGCTAAATGATGCCTGATATCTGTGAACATTGAAACGACAAAAAAATCGATGCGTTGCAGGCTTGCATTGCCACTATCTGTCTCATCTATTTGACCTGCCAGTTACTTCTGCGAGAACAAAATCTTGGAGTAAATCAGTATCTCTTATTAGGACAAAACAAAGATAAACCCATCCGCTTTCCAGGGCACTAAGATGGCATAAAGTGGCTTCTTTAATTTCAAAAGGGCAAATCTAGCATCCAACTACCACCATCACAGGACAGATTCAGCACTTAGTGGTGACTGATGAAGCACAAGGAGGGAAGTGAATCTGAAATTGCAAGGAGCGAGTTTGTACTTTGAGCATTGCACTGACATCTGCAACTGATAAGCAGAGCTGGCATGATTCCTTGCTAGCTATGTTCAATTGTTCATAGTACAGGAACCTCGAATAGTTACCAAACGTAGCCCCGCGAAGATGCCGATTCGTGCCGACGAAAGTTATCCTCTGAATGTCACAAAGGAATTAGGCACACTCCATCAGGCATCAGCTAGCTGGCTGTCTTGAGAGTTGAGCCAGGACCAGAGGCGGCACAACGGAGGGAAGAATATCACGCGCTGGGTCCGGAAGCCGGTGCTGGACTGGATTCTTGAAGGCTTCCATTCCATGGGGGTAAAGCGATCCCATTTCCACTCCGATTGTCTGCCTCCAAGACAACAGTTTTAATTTGCTTGCCCTCTCCTGCCTTCGGTGCACCGCCTCTATATGCAAGCAAGCAGTTTTAAATACGAGGCTCTCGCTTGTCACTGAAGCTGCGACTTCTTGTGCCTTGGAACTTGCCATTGGGGCTTCTCTACAAATACGTTGCGCGCCATGGACGGCGACTCGAAGAAGCTGAGGTAAAACAGGTGCACGCAGCAGGACCCGGACCTCGATCTGCTGAAGGGTTTGATCTTTCATCTGTTTGGCTGGCTTCGGATTGTTTTCTCTTTTTTTATTTCTCATAGTGTACCTTGGGCCTGGTGGCTCTTAAATCTCCCTCCTTAAAAAGTCGAGGTGAAAACGGTTATTTTGGCCAATAAAGAGCGGAAAGTTCAGGTGGCGCGTTTTGGGGATTTAGAATGGGAAGGGCCTTGCATTCTTGTGATCATCAGGTACGAGCAGATTCAGATTTCACAGTTATTTTGCAGGGTTCGGTTTTCTGGAGTAGGAAAGGGAGGAAGAGGTGGACGCCAGACCTCAGCCATACCACCGCAAGAAAGCACGCCTATTGGAAGAGGTAACTAACTGATCAATCAATACGCGATGATTTGGTTTTCACAAACATGAAAAGCACGGAGCTGCACAGCACAACTCGTGCTATTATTGTTTGTTTTCTAATCAATCTGTGTTGAGTTGTAGTTTGGGCAACGGCTGATAGGAGTCTGGTTGCAGAAACTCTAGTGTTACTGAGCTTTTAAATGCTTAATGCTGGGTGTTGTTAAACGCAAACACTAAGGCCCCGTTCGCTTCGCTGAAAAAACAAGCTGAAACACTGTTCCAGCTGATTTGTTGTGAGAGAAAAAAAAACTCTGTACCAGCTGAAAAAACAAGCTGAAAAAAGACGGATTATAAGAGAAGCGAACCGGACCTAAATTTGACGGACAGGGGAGTGTTCTCCCTGGAACTCTCAAAAAAAGCACACAGATTATTTCGGTTTTGAAGGTACCTTGATGGACCAAAAATGTTATAATTTTATTTTACAGAAGGTAGCAGTTGTAAACTTGTAATTATGTCAAGCACTATCCAATTTTTTTTTACTTCTATTGTTGTTTTTGAGACTGATAAGATCGTAGTGCTATCGCATTATGATCAACGTTATAAAAATTAGAAGGTAAATGGTGGAGCATTAAAAAATTCAGATGTTCTGAATTAGAAGGAAAAAACACTCTTCAGATGGATGTGTAGAATGCAACTAAGTTTTCCCCATTTTCTGACAGTGAATTATTAAAAAAAAATCTGTTATTGAAACGATTCATTTTCTAGAAAGAAACAAAACCATCCACCTGAAACGAAAATATCTAACAAAATTTATCAATACAAGCTGGTCAGAATCCTAGCGGCAGTTCTGGAAAAACAATCTGACAAATTGGCATTGTGACGTCCAGCGGAAATGAACAGCAGTGGGGAATATGATGCTTCATTCGCGGCCACAATTGCAGCAGCAGCATTTGCAATCGCTGCCCGTGAAGAGAAGCTTGCAACTCAGAAGAAGTCTGTCCCCATCGAGGAGGTGTCCCCAGCCCTGTCGCCAGTCAAGAGAGGTGAAAGCACCAAAAAACCTGCTGGAGGCAACAAAATCGCAAGATGGTTTAGCGGCAAAGAGCCTCTAGAACACGACGATGACAGTCCAGGTAGTGTAAACATGTTCTACCTTACTCGGTTACCCCCATTCTTTTCCCACCTGTACTGTAGCAAAACCTGCAAATCTCTTGTGATTGTGCTGAAATGAAATATCCTTTCAGTTAACGTATCGGTAAGGAGGCCACTGAAACCAGCACCTGGAAAGCCTGAGGAAATGCCTGCAGATCACAAGGTGGCACCCAAGACGCTTGAAACTTCTCTGAGTGTGAAGAAGGGTTCAGGATCCTCCAGCAAGTCAAAAGACAGGAAAGGGAGCAAGAAGTTTGAGCAAGAACAGGCTGTTCAGAAAGCGCCGTCGACCGTCAGGCCTGCTACATCATATCATTCTAGATGGAATGGAGAAGACGCATCAGGAGTAACTGCTATTGGCGGCACGGGATCTAAGGCTGATGAATGGGAGAAGGCAAAGCTTGCAAGAGTTAGAGAGGAGTATGATTTATTTTAGATTCTGAAGGTCATTTGATTGAAGTTATGCTGATATGGACTTCAAATTTAGGTATGAAAAGATGATGGAGACCATAGCTGAATGGGAAACTGAGAAGAAGGTGAAGGCGAGACGCCAAAAAGAACAGAAAGAGGTTTTAATTTTGTTAGTTCATTCATAGTTTAAAGAACACTGCACTATTAATTCAATATTTCCTTCGTCAAAAGCATCCGTGGTACAAGCCCCAAACCCAAAAAATTATAACACTAGGAACTCATCATGATAAATTATTGATTAAACCACATTGTTTGAGGAGACTCAGAGCTGAGCTTCTTAACTTGCAGACTGAGCTGAACAGAAAGAGAGCAAAAGCACCAGAAGAATACAACCAGGAGATGACAAGGATCAGCAAAATTGCTGGAGGAGCAAGGTCAATGGCAGAAGAACGAAAATACAACGATGAGAATAAGATCAAAGAGAAGGCGCGCAAGATACGATCCACAGGAAAGCCTCCCCGCACATGTGCTTGCTTTTGAGAATAGTTCTATACGCTGAAATTTGGAACCAAATGAAAGACGTGTGATTTGAACGGTTGTAAAAGGCACACAATAGTGACGTACTATATTGTAATACTCATGTATTTGGCTTTGACAAGTTATGAGTGTAGAGTTGTATCCAACACGCAACATATTGACGCATTCCACTGAAAGCAACATCAACATGTTTAAAGGATCTGGAATTAAGAGAAAAAGATCCATGCATCAACATTCAAGATGAAGCATGGAGTAGGAACTGCCCCAATAATATGAGAAAGGAGTAGATATATTCATCAGAAAGAACAGAATTTAGGATTCTCATCACAGAGTGTTTGATATACAAACAATACCACCACCACCACAGTGAAAACCAAACCAGAGGTAGGTGCAGCAAAACCAACTCTTTTAATATTGCATTTAGGAAACCCAAGCTGAACAAAAGCACAATTTGTTTTACAGTGTCTCATTTGATTTACAGTGAAGTAGACTTCAAAGCACTCCTTCCATTGAACACATTACTATATACTGCCTGTAAAACCTTTTTCCGCAACTGTTGTTCTACAGGAGAAATTTGTTGTATAAACTGAACAAAATCCTACCAATCAGATCCGATTCTGGAACCAAATAAAAGAGGAGACCCAAATATGAGTGCAAAGATTGCAACCTTTTAGAGGCATGCAAATTCTATCCAGTTTCCTCAGGTGCATTTCCCTCATCATCAGGAATTAAATCTTGTGAATTACCAGCTTGTGCTGTCAATGATGTGGGTTTGCCATCCTGGAGAGAAATCACTGTTTCAAAAGCACCAACTAATGCTTTTACCTTGGTTTTCCTGGACTCAACTAGCTTGCTTGCAGTTTCTTCAATTATATTATTGAACAATCCTTGTGCATCTTTTTTCTCTTGTGCATCCTGATGTCGCAGTTTCACACCAGGAGATTCCACATCAGTAGGAACAGCATTACTGGTGCTGTTCCTTCTGTAAATCCTTCTAGCTGGTGGGCTTTCACAATTTGAAGCTTCATTTGCAGACTTTCTTCTAAATTTCAGTCTCCTTGGGCCAATGCTGTCTGGTGGGAGTTCTACAATTTTACCCCTCTTAAACTTCAATTTATAGGGTGTGAGACTAGCATCATCCAATTCAAGTGTTGATGTTCTTCTTGATCTTTGGCCACCAGACTTCAGAGATTCATCCCTATTTTTGTTGATTGTTGTCTCCTCATCCTCTGTACCAGATTCATCTGATTCACTTAATTTAAAATCATACTCTTCATAAAATTCATTATCCGATAGTTCTTCTGGTGACTGACGAGGAATAAATATCCTTGATTTCAGTCCGTCCTGTTCAGAGGTATTTTCATTACTGATACTTGCTAACTCATCACCAGCAAAAACACTTGGTTCAATTAGCATGGACTTAGGCTCCTCAAGAAGTCCGCCATCTGATGAAGTTTCTGAAATTGATTGGCAGTGAGAAGCACTGTTGTTCATCCTACTGTCAAAAACTTTACCAGCCGTATCATTCTCTGCTGCATTTCCGGAAGCAAGATCAAGACAAGACTCAGGCTCCTCATTATGTTTTTTGTCAACTACCAGTAGCCCTGGAGATCTTTCAAAATCTTCATGAACTTCCATTTCTTTCTTACCTTCAGAGATTAGAGACTCCACAGACGCATTGACTTCAACTTGATCATCCTCAATTTTTGAATTACTTTGAGTTGATATAAAATCATACACATCTGCATTTTCCACAGTTGTTACTTGTTCTGGTAATTGACAAAGAGCTGCATAATCTGTTTGGCCATCACAATCTGTTGAAGCTTCATTATGAACAATATTATGCTCAGGTAGTTTATGTTCTAGATCAGATTCACCTAGGATAGCACTGAAGTTCTTTCCATCTAATGATTGCTGCAGCTCAAGGGCGATGGTACTTTCCAGCAGGGCTTCACCTCCTAATACTTCGCTCTTTTCAGTTCTTCCCACCCCATCGTCCTCTGAAATGGATTTACTTGTTTCTTCTGGTGCTGGAGAATTGTCTACATATTCTGTAATAGCTGGAGAGAGTTCAGCCAATGTTGAATCGATATAATACCCTGTAATTTGTGGATCATCTATCTGTACTTCCACAGAAGCAGTCAGCTTGGGTTCCAAAGAGAGGGATGATCTGGGCATATCTGAGCCTTCCTTCCCATTTATATTTGAATTGCTTGACCTTTTAGGACTTTGTCCAGCTTTAGCATGCATTCTAGTAATATTTGCTGCAACAGGTCCCTCCGGAGTATTTTTACGTTTTGAAAGTAGATGCTTGCTAGAAGCCTGAGATGCAACAGGCCCCTGTTTAACCATGTTGAGCTTAGTGGGAGAATAAGCTGGCCTATTGTGCAATGATTGATGAGCCATTGTGACTCTATCCACATTTCTAGGTTTCTCCAGCAAGGTCTTCTCTGGAAACTTTGATTTGGCAGGAAATATGGCCCCCTTGGCTGGCATTGTTTCTTTTTTATCAATTTTTGGAACTCCATTTGAACGCCTTAGATTTGTTGGAGCCTTCTGTGCAACAATTGAATGCATCTTTCTTCCATCAGAGTTCAGAGATTTATGTTGAGATGGTGTAGCTGTCCTGGGAACCATATGCTCACTGGATGGAACACCTTTTCGGTTTGCTGATGTTTTCTTGGGTGCAAACCGTTCCGCTTCACCCAGAGATATGCTCGACTTAGCTAGTGAAATACTCCTATTTTTGACATCCTTGGACCTATCCGGTAGCGAGAAGACATCCTTGGACCTATCCAAGATAGCTGATCTGTGTAGTGTCAAATTATTCAGATGAGCAGGAAGTTTCTTTCTTCTTCCTCCTGAAAAACCCGGCTCCTCTCCAGAAGGATTTTTGTGTCCATACTTGCAAAAATCATGGCACGAGCCTCTAGTAGCTCTGAGATAATTTGGTAGAGTCTTCTCATTCTTTTTTGACTCTAGAGGTGAAACTGAAGTCGTAGGTGTGGTGCCACTAGGTGAATCTTTTTCCAAATCTTTGGACATTGAGGTCTTTCAGTAGCTGAGATGGTGCTGGTGTCAGATGAATTTTCTTCCTTTTGAACTCGAAAGGTTTTAGGCTGTTGCAACAAAGGGCATTTGTTATTTCGAGACCTTTGCACAGCGACACAATAAGAATCTACAAAAAAAAAAGATGAATTTGTACTGGTTCCAACCATCTTTGACAATCACTCAAACTTGAGCGAGATCAATAGGTCACTAATGCTTCAATAGATTTACTGAATAGTAAGTGGAGGATTCACACCACAAAAATAACTATTCAACCAAACAAAAATAAATCTTAATTGCCTTAATAATCTACTTCTGCCAAGTTGAAATGATACTTCTGCAGAGCTGAAGTCCTTGAATGAAAATTATATAAAGACAAAATTAACCTAGTTCAATAAATTAGAAAAAAAATATTTGCACATCATCAGAAGCATACCTCCTAAAACCAGGTACCGTGCTGTTCAATCAGCAATTGTTAAAGAGTGCTTTCAAATTTCATGTTGAGAAATTGACCTGAATTTGAAAGGAAACAAAGTCATCAAGACAGCAATATAGTCATCAGTCACGTCACACATAAATTAAATATTAAAAAAATAAAGTACACATCATGACCAGTTTGCTTAACCAATAAAGTGCCCACCACCTACCATATTACAGAATTTCTATAGAAAGAGGAGATAGAGGAGGGGATGAACATAAAGATCTGACAGGTTCCTCTTGATAGAAGCAATGGAGCAGCCAGAATGTGACAGAACACCAAATAAGAATTCAACTATCTGTGTCTAAAACTAGGATTTCTAAATCAAGCTATCCCTGTCATTCTTGATTACTATAACAAATCCAAATACGTATTAGACAATACAAGAGCCACAAGTGACAAAAGATGCCCAGTTCAAGAACTATGTATCTTACCGTAACTTGGATCGTTCTTCCTAGGAATGAGCAGATTTGGCCACTCCACTACTAGTCAAGATGAAAATAGAGGAAGAGAGCGGTCTAGGAAACTGTTTGAACTAAATATAGAGTAATCCACATGTACAAACACCGAACAGAATTGGGCAGAGATCATATCGAAGATCCCACTCCTCCACAAATACGTCATCCAATTAACCTATCATTAAATAAAAGCCATTTTTTCCTAGCCAAGCTGTCTAGAGTCTAGACCACACTACTCCAGCATTAGTCTTTCCAGCTCGAGACTGCAAGGACTTGAATGATGAGTAAAAGCGCGAGATAGTACCAACCAAAGTCCCCACGGAAATTACGTAAAAGAAAAACACGGGAACAAGGGGACCAGCGGCATTAATCTTAAAATGTGGCACACTTTCAATGGCAATTTGTCGTCATTGAAAAGAAATCACTAGCCGGAGGAACCGAATTCGGAAAGACCAAATCCGATTTTTAACGCGTATTACACCAAGCAGAATCGTTGTTAAGTTACAGATATATAACCAAAGACCTATGCATCATGCCAGCAGCCAGTGCAATTGTTAGGAAAACAAACTGAAATGGAAATATATATGGCGACGAGATTATTTAACATCAAAACTTCATCTTTCTTAGTCAAACTTTTACTCTTTTCAAACAAAGAACAGACACAGAACAACCCGAAGCGGCGTCCTAGTGAACCCCAGCAACCAAACCACATCGCGGAACGCAGGAAAACCAGGCGAATCAAAAGCGATCACACAAAGCCCACCGGACCGGAGGGAGCAAGACCAGAGATCATACCTTTGAGAGAAGGCAGAGGCCCCCGGCGGAGCCTCACGCCCTCGCGGCCGCAGAGGCAAACGAAGCAGCGACGCGGTTGAGGAGGAGAGGTAGCGGACAGCGGTGGCGGAGGAGACGCGGTTCGCTGGGGCAGCTGGCCGGCAGCGCCACCTTCTCTTCTTCGGAGGGGGGAGAGGAGGGGGAGGGGCAGTCGTGCGCGCAACAAAGAAGAAGGCCTAAACCGAAGGGTGCGGCAGCGGCCGTTTCTTTTGAGGCTTTTCCGCGCGCCATTGGGAAAGATGCTCCGTTTTTACGTGTCACTGGAAGGTTTACGTGGAACTTGTGCCATGACGCTCAATTTTCTTGTCCTTTACATTATTCTATGTGTCCGCTTTATGTTAGACTTTCACCGCTAGTCCTGACATGTGGGCTTGACCAGGAAAAATATACAAAATGCCCCATGTTTCCTCTCGGTTGTTCGTTAGTTCCTTGCTTGTCTCGCCAGCTAGCCTCATTCCTCCTCCCCCATGCCCACCAAGTACCACCCCACGCTGCCGCCACGCCATCGTCATCCAGGCAGCCACCCGACCAATCGCCATTTCGTTCCGCCCGCCTCGCTTTTCCCTTACCCCAACCACTCTGCTCGTCCCGCCCCCCGCGTCACCCGACCCAATCCGATCCTATCCCCCCACACGGCCGCACCGCAACCCACCGGCGCCGCCCGAGATCCCGCCCCCAGGGGTCCGTCCCGTGTGATGCGTGGATCCGGCTGAGGGGCGAGCCATGCCGAGCGTGGGCGTGAAGATATACAACGTCTTCTTCGAGCTCTTCATCCACCACCGCCTCCGGTCACGGGCCGCCGCCGCGGGGGACCTCGACAACGCGGCCTTCAGGGTCTCCTGCCACCCCGACGAGGCCACCGCGCCGCCCAGCCTGGCCTTCTCCGCCTCCGCTGATGGCGTCGCCTCCAAGGACCTCCACATCGACCCCAACTCCTCCCTCTCCGTCCGCATCTTCCTCCCCACGCCCCCATCGTCCCCGCACGCGCATCTCCTCTCGCACGCGCCAGCGACCCCACCCCTGCCATCGTCGGCCCCTGCCCCACCCTTGCCACCGAGGCGGAGGCAGTCACAGCGGCCTGGATGAGGAGGCGCCGCCCGTCCAGCACGGACTGGCGCACGCCGTAGCCGTCCTAGAGGCAGTGTCCAAGCTCGCAGAGGTCGCGGTCGTCCTTGCCGCCGCCGCCGCCGTTGAACTGGATCGCGGCCAGCGAGTAGAGCACCTCGAGGTGCCCGCCCGCCGCTGCCGCCGCCGCCGCCATCGGCGCCGCGCCCGAGCCGCGGCTGCCCGGCAGTGGGGTGCGAGACCGAGACGCCAGCAGGCCGCAGATGAAGATGAAAGGATGAGGAGGAAGACGGTGACTGGGTCACTTGCAGCTTGGCCCCACTAGCCAGAGAGAGAAAGGGAGAGGACAAGGTTATGAGAGAATGGTATTCTGGACATTATCACTGGTCGGGCCCGTATGTCAGGGCTGCCAAACGGTGGAAACCAAACAGAAGACGAACGGAATGGCGTAGAGGACAAGAAAGTTTAGTGTCATGGCACCATGGTCCGTGTAAACTTTTTAGTGGCATATAGGAATGGAGCATCTTTCGTAATGGCACACTGAGAAAAAGCCTCGTTTCTTTTGTTTCGGCTTTCCGCATCTTGGCAGCGTTAAATTACTTCGTTTCGCCTGGATGTTGTCGTGCAGACTTGCAGCAGCTTAGCTTTGGTGACCTGGATGCATTTACCTTGGCAATTCTCCGGCCAAAGCAATTCAATTCATCGTCACCAATTCACCATGCCATCAGTGAAATGACGGTCTGCTAAAGAAAAATATCATGAAGTGTGAGTTCGATGACACGTGGGCTACACTCCATCCATTGTTGGCATGGGTCAATTCCAAACAGGCGGTAATAAGTCGGGTAGAAATGGAATTTTTAGACTAGGCTGTGGTGTTGACTGTTATAGAATCAAATAAGGCCTTGTTCCAATGTTATCGGATTCATCTTAATCTATATGTATTGGGGTGAGTTAGAGTGGAATTTGAATCTCCCACCTAGCAACTACAGCTATTGACACATTGCCTCGTCCGTCATGATCCTTGCTCTGCCGTTGTCACCCCTAGTGAATGCTCATAATATTAAATTATAGGAACATATACTCTAAAATGTGTCGATAGTTGTAGTTGACCCTAAAATATGGCATCACCAATGAACATATATACTCACTATCCTAGAATAGTGAAATATATTTTCATAATAAATATATTAGGAGATATAAAATACTCATAACTATTTCATGATAGAAATACTTATAACTATGATTTTGTACTAGAGGTAACCTAGTAAACTCTCCACTGGTTTGATTTCTGATCAACGCTATGAAAAAGGGTAAAAGATTTGTTACAACTTACACTAATACTTAGGCATGACAAGAAGGACCTTCGCATTTTCATTGAGGATGAAGTTACCAGTTTAGAGGATGATGATAGTAAGACAGAAGCGATCAGAGCATGTACTATTCCCAGTTGTATACACGCTACAAAAGGTTTACTCTATACACCTAGCATCATTTGGTAGCATTGTCTCTCCCACAACTTCAAATCCAACATATGTGTAAGCTTTAACCTAAACACACTAGCACATATGTAGGAGGAACTAATACTACCAAATTCGGGTTTGTAAAACTTGTCCAAATATTCACAAGTGGTTAAAATGCTTGGGTAAGCAACACAAACTGAAACCAAGTTAGTAGCTTGCACTTGCGTGAGACACTAGCTTGGAATTCAAACTTAATTCCTATCTTTGTAACAGTTGTCATCAATAACCAAAAAGGAGGAAATTGAAAGTCATATGTTTGGTTTTGGTAATTGAGACAAAACTAGCGGACTAACCTCTACTCTAAGTGTTGTGATTGAGATAGGTTATGTCCACACCAAGATTGAACAAGGATGGCACTCATGGAAGTGATGATGGTGGCCACAAGGTGATCAAGTCCTCAACAATTAAAAAAGAAGAAAGAGAAAAACCAAATGCAAGGGCTCAAGATGAAGGTATAAGCTAGGGTATTTTGTTTTGCCAGTCAAGACGTAATAGAGTGCATGATCGGGTTTAGGATAAATAGTCGTACTATTAAGAGGGAAACTCAAAGTTCAAAACGGTTGTCTAAGTGCCACTAGGTGGATCAATTCATTGCATGTGCATTAGACCTAGTGAGGACATGAAATACCCTTGGAAAAAGGGTAGTGAAAATGCTAACTAACTTGCACTCGTGTTGGAACACATTTGGAGTTAGCACATTTGGAAAAGGGTTGGAAACTCGAGCTACAAATGCTCCTAGGTGAGCATAGGACCGAGAAGGATAGCACCGGACCGACAGAGGCTGAGTCCATTGGTTAAACCTAGTCGCAAGTGCCTCTGGGTCACACTGGACCATGGACTTTGGTCCCACGGTCTTGGTCAGGGTGACGTCAGACCAAACGGTTGCACTGTTCATCCCATAGGCCCCACCTATTAGTGCGTAGGAAGGATTCAAAGGAGGCACCAGACCGTGGCTGTTGGTTTAGTGCACGATGTCAGCCCAGTCTGATGCAGTTAGGAGCGTTTTGGGAGCTCTCTGTGTTGCACCAGACAAAGGCACCTTTGGTACGATGACCATCAGACTCAGGGCGCGTCGGACTATACGTCACAGTGACCGTCGACAGGCAACAACTAGTTTCAACATTTGAGCACCACGTGTACATAGGAGTGGGCATCGGACCCTTAGCCGATGGTCCAACGGTGGCATCGGATGGTCCGTGCCCCCGAATTATGTGTTGTAAAGGCACAACGGCTAGTTTGGCTCAAGGGGTGTTATAAATAGACATTGGTCGTATATGGCTATCTCTCTTGGCACTCCAACGTGATATACACCCTTGTGAGCTTGTGCAAACACCTCCCACTCATCTCTTTGCCTATTGCTTGATCCAAATTGAGATTGGGAGTAATTCTAGTGCATTTGCATTGAGTTCTTGCATCTAGTGGCACTAGTGATCATTTGAGCTGTGGGATTCTTGTTACCCTTGGTGGTTGCTAACACCTAGATGGTTTGGAGGAGCGGTGGATCATTGAGAGGCTTTGGAGATGTTGCCGGCTTTGATCGAGCAACTATAAGGGGCTCTTGTGATCATCCTCGCGGGAGATTATGAAGAGCAACTCTAGTGGAATTGTGGCTAGTTGGAGTGCACCATTTGAGTGGTTCTTGCGGCACCCTTGGTGGGTCTAGCTTGTCACGCTAGTTAGCTCGTGAACCATCACTTAGGGACTCGCCACGAGGACATAGTTTACTGGCATGCAATTGCACCTCAGGGAATATATCTTATGTCAACTCTTGCCCTATGTGGTTTGCTCACTACTCACTCTTTGCATTTACTTTCATACTTTGCTTGAGTAGTAGTTGTGTGCCTAGCCTAGAGTAGTGGTAGTTGTAGTAGTAGCCTAGTTGTAGTTGCTTCTTTTAGTATCTCTTGCTAGTTCTTGCTAGTTGTAGCTTGTGTATTGCTGTGACATAGACTAGATCAAGCTACTAGCATTATTTAGAAGGCTTGCCTTGGGTGAAATTAGAGCTAGTGTAATGTAGAAGCTATTAGTGCCTCATATTGTTTTAACCAAAGTTTGCACTAGCATTTATGTTTTGTAGAAATTTTATAGGCTATTTGCCCTCTCTAGCCATCTAGATCATATGAGCTATCCCACATCCCAATTACACTAGGACCTAGGTGGCCCTTATGGTCACGGTGTGCAAGGCAACGCATCCGAAACTCGACGACCTTTTGCGTCTCATGATGTTATAGTTCTCGAGTGAACAACTCCTCTCTCGCTTGATGGATCTACGCACAGGGAGGAGCCTCACCGTCGATGACGTAGAGTATATGACCAACTTTCTTGATAACAATTGTTGCATCCTCCCATTGCCAATATCAACTTGATGTGTCGTCCTAACGGCAGCACTTGTTCTCTTGGTAACTTTTTTGGGAACAACAAGATATACTTTATTATTGATCGTCTTGAGGATAATATTTGTGTTGCTAGAACAATGATGAAAAAAGGGAAACACAGCAAACAATGAATTGTCGCCATTCATGTCCATCAGGCTAAGACACGACAGATAAGTTGAACTTCATTCCTCCGAAAAGCTGCTTCTATCCGTTAGCCCAGGCACGGCGTGAGAAATCTTGATGACATAGAATGCCAATACATAAGTTCTTTGAAGATGTATCTGGTTGATGTTGTCCATACCTTCTACATCGTCGTGTAATAGAAGCCAAATAGGACGGGCTAAGGGAAAGTACATTGGTATTATCTAATATGCAGTCTTATGCATTGACACGTCACATTGAGACGATTAGTAAACAATCTTTTACAATGGGTTGTCTTTTAAGTGGTCTCATAGTAATTTTATATTTCATTAATTTATGCATAAATTATTTAATCTTTTAATAGAAAGTAGGAAATTTAAGTCTTTCATGGCAACAACAAATTATACAATGGTGAAAGAGTTATCTCATACTCCTAAACTTTAGCCTATAAGGCGGTTGCTTCGCAAAACAACCACCTCTTTCTCTCACCTCCCCATCTCTCCTCTATATCATAAAAATCCTATTTGGTGTTGCATGAGATGGCATATGAGACCACTGGCACTAAATGTGTAGTGATGTACTTGTCCTAATTAATCTAGAGTCATTATACACCTATGAGAAAACAACCTAGACACAGGGAAACTAAAATTGGAAGAGATGGCTAGCTTGAGCAGCCTCCCCTCTTATTTATAGAGCCATATTACACATGTCAAGCTTGCCCTTAGATATTTTCTTGAACCACTTAGCCTAGGGGCATATTGGTCTAGGTTGAGATCTGTGCATCTGATGGCCACGAGCCCTTCATGAGAATACTTCACCTTGACACAAGCTTCCCAATGACACCATGTGCCTCCCCAAACTCCATCCCAGGTTTTTAGGTCCAAACCCGCCAAATTTTCTGATGGTGGTTGAGGCCCAAACCGTCAAACACAGCTGGAGAAGTGTATCCGCTATGCCTCCTCCATGATCTCGATGTGTGTCACTG